TGCTAACGATGACTTTTAAAAAAAAAAAAAATTGCATTTGCTTCATTGTGACATATAAATTGTTTTCATCTCTAGTACTGAATATGTGCATCTCACATCATTTATATTCCTTGTAAAATTGATGCTGTTGGTCATCTTTTATTTTCTTTTTTATATCTATACTTGTACAAATTTGTTGTGTGTGTTTTCGGTTAAGGTACAGTATGTCAAGTTAAAGAAAAACAACTTTAAATTATTTTTTTATAAACTTTGTTTATTCCTCATTATTTTAACCAAAAAAAAACAACATCAAAGAGTTATTAGATCTTGGATAAGAATATATAATCAATTTCAAAGTTTGTTATTATTTTTTTTATCTCTATGTCAAACACAATTATTTTGGCCAAATAAACCATTGTCAACACAATGGGACACATTTGATAAATGAATATATATTATGTTAACAGGAATGAAATTAGAGGAATATAGCAGAATAAAAGTTTTAAAAAATTGTCCACAGCTGTACAATGCATTTCTCTTCCATTTCCAATTTTTTTTAACTTTAGAAATAAATTTGATTTCTTTTTGTTGTAATTGTTCTCATCCTCAACCTAAACTGTAAGCAAATGGGGAGTAATCACTTAAAAGTATTTTAAAACATTGGTTTTGATTTGTACAAGTTCATTTTTTCAGTGCATGTTACTGTTGTCCATAAAGGAGCCTTAACGAAATATCTAAATTAATCCTGGTTGTGTCTGCTCATCTTTTAAATTCACATAAATCTTTAACATACAGAAATAAAAGTTATGAATCCTCCCATTGTCATATTTCTTACTGGTTGGCTGAGTCAATACATTTTTAAAATAGTCATATCGGTACACTCTGGTTGGCCAGGTTGGTACAACTGTTACAGTTTGTACCTAGGTTGGCTGGGTCAATACAGTAGTCATACACTCTGGTTGGCCAGGTCGGTACTACTGTTACAGTTTGTATCAAGGTTGGCTCAGTCAGGAAAATATGTCAAGCAAAACTGAAAGATTGGTTAAAATTTATTTTCTATTGTATAGATTTTTTTTTTTTCAATGTGCTCAACTACATACTGGTACTAGCTCTGAGTGGATGAATGTGTCCTCGCATCATGGTGCCATAGTAGCCGCATTAATTTCAAAACTATTAATGCCAGGACAGTTATAAACTCCATACCCTGTCAACATTTATTACATTTTTTTAGAACAGTTCAACTGAAGTTAAGATCTTTGACAGCAGGGCTCAAAAGCTGACAACTTTTAATTACCGCTCCTATTTCTTTAAGCCAGAAACGGAACTTGTGTACATTAGGCCTGAACTACAAATATCAAATACATCCAAATAACTGCCCCTGAAGACGTCTATGATTAGAGTCTCATTTAAAACTTATAGAAAAACAACCAAATAATATGTTTTTGGTAAATTTTATTATATTGACCTTTCATTGTAACTTGCATCATGCCAAACGCTAAGATTATAAGATTCTTTTATTGTTTCAAATAAATGAAACTGTTGGGGTTTTTTTTATTACATTGAGCATACCGGTACGGTATTCATCTTCAGCTCATAGATGAATAGTCTTACCTGGACAACATTTTTTAACTAGAAACATTTTAAATTAAACCTTAGTATACCATAGTTTATTCAAATAAATGAGGCAGCTTTGTCTAATAAATTTTATTCACAACGGTTACACAAAAAAAGAAGAGGGTACCGGTACGGGTATTAGCCTTTATGATTATGGCCCTGATGATATGCAACAACAAAAAAGTGGGAGTGGGGAGCGGGGAGCATCAATGACAAAAAACTATTGAAATGCAGACACAAAGAGCCTGGGGCGTACAATGTGGAAATCCCTTGCACGCCAGCCGAAGTCATGATAAGTGCACGCCTTAAACTTAAAACAAGATTAACCAAAAAAACTTCCCTCCAACCATTTCTTCACAAGTCATCTGCCTTTATGGTGTGATCATGTAATTTGCTTCATAATGTATCTGTTTGCCTGTGGTGTTTAGTTGTAGTATGTTTGTTGGTACTCCTTTACAACGATGTCTTGTGATGTTTGGTCTGAGGATTCGGATATTGTTAACTATCATGCACATTGTCGAGAGAAAGAAACAAAAAAATTAATAAAAATTACAACAAATTATAGCCCTCTTTGTTACTTGCATTTATAGTTAGAATTAGGTAGTAATTTTATTTTATTTTTTTGTAATTCAGGGTTGCCAAAGTAAAATCTTGATAAAAAGCCAAAACCATGAGAACAATCTGGTATTCAACCCACAGGCATGCTAAGAACTTCATTTCTCAAAAATGTTGTGTTCATAATACACAAAGATGAAAAATATGCCTTAACTTATTTTTAATATATATATATTTTGTTCATCATCCACATGCCTATGCGAAGAAGACCAAGACCTGTTTAGTTGTTTTGTCCAGACAGTGTGAAGGTTGTAGTTAAGTAGAAAGTAACTGTAAAGAACTTAAGGAAAAAAAAACTTGCCCAGGTAACATGTGTTAAACTGTTTTTTTTTTATGTCTATAAAACTATTAAAGAAAACAGAAAAGTCTTTGGAAGTGAAACCTGCCTTGAGATAAATGTTACACATTTTAAAACATGGACAGCTATTGAGTAAAAATGCAGGCAAATTGCCCCTAATGAATATATAAGTAATAATTAGTGGGTAATAAATTGTAAAAGAGCCTACGTCATATTTTTTAATTTTATTTTTTAAAACTATTTTCCTGGTTGTGTTGAAGTAACTTTTGACTTCTAGACTAAATCTAGTCTAGGTCTATTCTTTCAATTGTCAACATTTCAAGATTTTGCATTAAAAAAATATTGTAATTCGTTCCACATGTGTCCAAAAAAAATAATTTTGGAACCCCTGACTTATACTGACCCTGACCCTACAGTTCATTAATAATGTGTGTTTCATAATATAGTGAAATTTGGACTCCAATAAATTATAAAACAACTTTGACTTAAAATTATTTTACGTTTTAAAAAGGGCTTTAAGGAACTTCCTACAAATAATTCGTATTACGATTAATATTGAATAACAAACCGAAATTAATTTTCTTTCTATTTCTTTAAATAATTAAATATAATCGCAATATTGGTATAAAAATCATTAGAATAACATGTTTGCATAATAATGAACTAACACTAACATAATACTAATTAATACTCGGAAACAATTATTAATATTAAATTTAAACAGAACGCATTGTTTAGTTCACAATAAATAAGATCTTATTTTTTTTTGTGTAGCCTATACATCGCGCACATGGATTAAAATATTGATGTTTCTTAATATTCCAATGTCCCTCCTGCAGGCACGTCATTCTTTATTATTTTTTAATAAATAAATACAAATAGCGTTCACTGTGCATAAATGTTACAAATGTTAAGATTACAAGAGTTAAATGAATTCATAAACATTTACTACTCTTGTGGAGTTATCTCCCATCGAGTGAGTTGCCAAGCGTCTCGTGGGGCGGTCCTGCCTGCGGCCTGTCAGCAGGGCCGGCGCTAGTGGGGAAGGGGGCCTTGGGCAAATTGAATTTTTCGGGGCTGTTGACGTTATATATATTCCACCGATAGGATATTAAGACACGTTATAGTCGTACTGGGGCCTTGCTGGTCATGATGAGACGCGTTATAACGGATATTTGTTAACTCGCTTAGTTTCCAGAATTTCTATTTTTTCACTATAACAGTTGATTGCCATGACCCAAATTACTCATCGCGGCCCCATTTTTAACAATATCAAGGTTGTCAAAAACTAATAACGAAAACACGAAGCTGGACGAGCCATTGTAATCTGGACACAAGCAAAAATAAATATACTACGGCAGACTACGACAACGCGAAGGGCCTCGCAAACACTTCGCAATCCTCTAGCGCCTGCCCTGCTCCAATTAAAACTTCATTGTCATTATATTTTTATCTCATTAACTGCAATATTTAAATTATATATATATATCATGCTTGTACGTGCCCCATCGGCTAATTTGACCAGTTTAAAATAGTTCTTTGTGAAGTTTCATTTAATCAATCAATCAAATTCATGACTCATGCAGTATTTTTGACAGATACATCTTCACTTAATTTAAATTCATATGTCAATGGAACATGGCTTTTAAAATAGTTAAATGGTAGCAATTTTGTAAATACACTTTAATAAGAATATCGAGGCAATCTATAATTCTCTTTCTTGATATCTTTCTTTTTTTAAATTAAAAAATAAAAACGAAATGTGAACTTGAATTTTAAAAATGCAGTTGCAAGAGAGATAACCCGTATTTCGCGCTCTTTTCTTTACTGTTCTTTACTAAAATAAACGCTGCCCTGAATGGACACGATTCCAAAAAGAAATAGTTCTCAAGTAATATTTTGTTTTAATTATTTCTAAGTGGCTTTTTCTTGTATTTTTTTATACATCAAATTTTAATACATAAAAGATAAGCACCTCTTATCGTAGTAAGTTAGACATAAAAATTGAGAAATACTATTTTAAAAGAAGGCAATTCATGCTCATTATACATGTTCCATGGCCCTGCTGCAATGCGCCGTTGGATAAGAACTGATTTTACAATATCAACAGTCTGTGAAGGGAGTAATGATTATTATCCCTTCAAAACGACCATTGGCTTGTAAATTTCAATATTTAATGCAATAATTGATATGATTTATGCGTAAAAATCTAATTACTTTAAAAAAAAATAATGCCGAAATTTAATAAGTAGTGTAGTATAACGAGTTATATCTGGGGATCTCAGCAACTCTTTACCACGGGATAATGCATTGCTTACCATCAATCATATTTATGGGAATGTTAATTGTTAAGACATTATAAAGCATGCATTTTTTGTAAAATATTTAAACCATAGCAACATCTGCTTATCATTGTTTGTGTTTTGATTTCCCCATAGCCACTGTGCACTATTTTACACGCTCGAACATTAACTATTTCCGGTACGGTTTCCATGTGACCTCTTCATCGCAAGACCATTTGTCTGGAAAACATGGCCAACTGAAGGGGGATATCCACTAACTATACAGAGGTCTTTCATCAAAGATCTGTCCTGAAAATTGCCTTCCATAAAGGGCAAATTTATACAAGCCGTTCTGGCTTTTTTACGGTAAGTGTTTCATTTGATATAAGAAAGCAGTGAACATTCTTCGTCGATGCATTCGTCGCTCCAAGTGAAGGGCGAACGTCGAATGTTTATTACCCTCGCATCGAATTATTGCTGACCCCTCTCGTTTTTCCCTGCGGCTATTTTCATTAATAATAGTGTTATACTTAAAATAATTTGTAATAAAGTAACAAAATGATGGATGTTTCTAAATTTGTGATTTGGTTAAGCTGTATCATTTGAAAGGGCCATCTCTGTTATGTTTTTTTTTGTGGGTAAGTGTACGGATACGAGTTCTTCCCGTCCGAAAGGCGTTGTCGGGCATGAGAGTCGTGGCGGCGCGACTTGTTTGTTGTGAATTTTTAGTTATTGATTCTTCCATGATATCATTGTGTCTTGTTGGTAAATGTTGTTAACGTTGCCAATTTTTAAGAACCGAAAGTCTGTCTTTATGACAACGTTTATTATTTCTCAAATCTAATCAAACTGTTGCGTCAGTGCTTCGGTTCCACGCACTGCACCGTGGCCGCCATGTTGACAATATGGCGGCTTCCGTATTATCAAGTCTATATATAGGAGATGATAGCGTTTGTATTAAAATACAACGTAATTAATCAATTAGCTAAACAAGTATGCCATTTATATTATCATTCATGACATCTGTTTATTTAACAAAAACGATAGAAATCCAGATTGGGTCTAGGGATCAAGGATAATTTTATGTAAATGAGTTGCAAAGTTTGCTGCAGCAGTTGAACTGAAGAATGTCTCTACTTTGGAATTATCCAGTCATTTCTTACTCTTACAGTACAGTACAGTCTTGGCAATTCTTGAGTTGGTCTCTTGGAAGAACCTTTACTGTGCAACTGTCAAGTAGGCCTACTGTGGTTGTAGTTAATCTGATTTGAGGCTGGTTCTAGTGGCCTTAGTAGGGACAAAATATGAGTTGACTAGACTAAGTAGTGAGTATAGGTTAAGGACTGTTGATGGCAAAACCTAATTTATGGACAGCTACTTGGGCCTATCACTTTTAATTAGTTGTACAAACAGTGCTTTTATAGTGAGGTGGAATTTAGTTAATATGAATGTTTGTATTCAAGTCCTTTATTATTAGGCCTATTTGTATGATTAAGTTTAGTGTGAAAACTAGTAGTACTACTTCTACAACTGAGTTCGCTATTCCACCTTGTACGCTAGCCTGTAGGTCTATTAGTTTTAGACATTATTGGTGTAATATTTGGACTGTAGGTCTAGAAACTGGCAAAGGGGTTTTCATTTATGAAAAATTGTTTACAGTTTGGCATACATACTATTTATTATTTATGCTTTTGTAAGCATTAGTTCTTTCTGTGTATATTATTATTAATCATTGTTTCTGTGAGATCATATTCATCTTGGTGTTATGTTAATGATACTGGTTATTTTACTTTCTTTTTTAAGTTGACATAAAGAGTTTCTGGAAAAATGATCTACTTTAGTTGGCCCAATTTATCCCTGAACTCAATTCCTTGCCATTTGTCCAGTTAGGCCTTATAGTGTTAATCATATTGTAATGTGTTGTCTGCTTACTTTTATCTCATGGATCTCAGTTTTAGCTTTTCGTATTTAAGTTATATAAAATGGAAATCAACTGTCATTAAATGTTACGTTTTATCATCATAAAATAAGCTTAAAATTTCCAGATCTATTGATCATTGTTTTTTCTTTTGATTTCTTAATCACTGCATTGGAAATTTAGCTAATTCAATGGTATTTATTTGAGATTCTTCAATGAAATTAAAAACTAAATGCAATAAGACAAAATTGATGAATTTTCTTAGCACTGTAAAATTATGTAGGCAATGCCTGCTCACAATTAACATTGTAACTATGTTTGTTGTGTAAAACAATAAATATCAGGGACAATGATAATTGTACCTATTGTTTTGATGCTCTTTTGAGGGCAGGTGTTAATTAGTGGAGACAGTTACAGTAGACCCATTTCCCAAACACTTGTTGGTCTTCATGTACTTATAGCCTTTCCAGGTGAGATGAGAAAGAATATTGATAATCATTTTGAATTTTGATTCATATGTCCTGTGACAGTTTTCAATTAGAAAAAAATTATTCTAGGGCAATGGTTCTTAACATTCTTAATGCTGCGCCCCTTTAATACAGTTACTCGTGTTGTGTTGACCTCAACCATAAAATTATTTTCATTGCTATGTCATGAGTATGTGTACACCTTAGCGACCCCTGTATAAGCGTCGTTCAACCTTAAAAGGGGTCATGACCCACAAGTTGAGAACCGCTGTTCTAGGGTGTTATGGCAGCTCAGTTTTTATTTTTAAAAATAAGAGAATAATAAAATGATACTTAATCTATATTTACATGTGCAAGAGAAATTTGGAATATAGAAAGTTTGTAATTAATTTAATATTAATATGGTTGCCTTTTGGTGGAGCTTCAGTTCCACACAAAAAAAAGTCACTGCCTTGACTGGTCCTTAAACCTGTATTCTATTCTCCTGTCATCATTATATTGTTATTTATATGTATATTATATCTGATAAATTTGTGCTAAACCAAGAAGTCAGCTAGTATTTTAAACATTTAAAAAAGTTCCAAACATTAGATAATGAAAAATTGTTTCAACAGTGATCCTGAATTATGACAATCCATTTATACCAACAGGTGATCCTCACATGCTGCAGTGGGGATACTGGCAAAGTCCTCCATAACACTAACCACCTTAAATGAACATGATGACACAGGACAGAGCGACAGGGCAACCAATGGCAGTGAGTTGATTTTTTCTACATTTCGATTTTGTTAAAATGTTTGAAAAAAAATTCTTTAAAAAACAATTCACAATATGAATCATGAATTCTGAGGGCATTGGGTATCAAACTCAAACATTAATATAGCTTTTTTTTTTTTTTTTTTAATATGAAGCATTTCATGGAATTTAAATATAATTTATAAATAATTAACTTTAAAAAAGTGATCAGAAGTTCTGATTAGTTATGCACACATGAGAATATGTGTATACATTAACCTGTTCTTTCAGATGTAGATTTATGAAATATTTTTGGGTATCAAACTAAAACATTAATATATTTTTTTTTTTTTTTTTTAATATGAAGCATTTCATGGAATTTAAATATAATTTATAAATCATTAACTTTAAAAAAGTGATCAGAAGTTCTGATTAGTTATGCACACATGAGCAAATGTGTATCCATGAACCTGTTCTTCCAGATGTAGATTTCTGAAATATTTTTCTTGGCCTTTGGCTATCCAGAATCTTAAAAGCAACAAAAAAATTGAGTTAAGTTTAAGGTGCATTAATTAAATATCATACAACACATCAAAAGTAATTATAAGTAGATGAAATAAATTAATATATTTTTAAATCTTATTTGAACACACCACTCCTAAAGATTTTTATGAAAGCATTGTTGAGTATCATAACATTTTATAAAGAAAAATAATGTATTTGTTTAATTTATTTTAAAAATATCTATTTGTTAATATTTTTACTCGCATACCGCACTGAAGAATCAGCATGTTATATTTGTATCAAGTTAACTATTTTTTTCAGTCTCTGTCTTGATAACAATTACCCCTATGACAGGGTTTCCTAAGCACAACACCCCCCCCCCCCCCCCCCCCCCACCCACACACACAGGGCATTTCAAGGGGTGCAAAAAAAAAGTGATTGTAAATAATGCATCTTAGGGGTGGTGGGAGGGTATGGGCTTAAAAAGAAGTGCTCTACATCATTACCCACATCAAATGTAGGATGAAACTTGATTAAACATTTCAATTTCACACATATCCATCCCTCTTTAAAATTTAGAAATATGCTATTTCTGTCTCTTGTAACAATGTCAATTTATTGTTTTCAATTACAAAATGCATCTTTACTTTTGTAACCGTATGAGTCCTGGTCAAATAATCTTAAGAGTGTCGCATATAGAATAAGTTGGGAAATCCTGTCCTATGGTTATCTGTCAATGTTTAAAGCTAAACAGCAGAGGTTGGCAAACGTATGGTTTAGACAGTTTAGTAAATGTTTTTTTTCCAAGCCAGTAACCTAATTTTTGTTCTCTGAAGTGTCATGTTATTATTTAGGCAAATCTCCAAATGTTAAATGATTTTTATATAGCACTCCAAAAGAAAAGATTGCATCTACCCTTGCACCTATATCTGTATTCTTAACCAGTCCATTATTACATATCTGCCAACGCCTCCCGATTTTGTCGGAATTATACAGATTTTTTGCCCCTCATTCCAACCTTCTGACAAACCCCTTCAAATTCAGATTTTTCTAACTTAATAATTTTTTCACCCATCATAAAAATCCGAAAGCAATAAAAAAAAAAAAAAAAAAATCGGGTCCGACAGAAAGTGTTGCATTTTTTTTTTTCTTCTGACAAACCCCTTCAAAATCAGATTTTTCTAACTTAATAATTTTTTCACCCATCATAAAAATCCAAAAACAAAAAAAAAAAAAAAAAAAAATCGGGTTCGACAGAAAGTGTTGCATTTTTTTTTACGAAGTGTATTCATGTCCAGTGACCGATGAATAAGTTCTCGAGATATTCGTCAGGCTACTATATATTTGAGCAAATCATATGACCATCGTAACAAAGATGGGCAAGATATTTGTCAGTCAGCCTTGTCATGTGACCGCTAAATGTCGATCAGAGTTTACAGTACTTCATTTCAACAAATTCAAGATAGTCTGGACATATACATGAAAAAGAAATTTGTTTAATTCTACAAAAGAAATACTAAAACCATTGCTGGTATATAAATGAACAATTGGTTAAAAAGTGACAATATTTTTTATAAAGCGTGGCATGCCCACCGGATGAATATCACCCACACCATTTGTCTGGTCACCTGACGTGTAGACACTGCCTTGTTTTTATCGCAGCGAACCAGAGCCTCATAATCATTCAGCAATCATCAATTGATCAATCAGCTAAAAAAAATCATACTTTTTTCTTTTTTTTTTAAGTTAAAAAAATTTTTAAAAATAATAATTTTTTTTACAGTTTTTCATAATTAAATGGTTAAATCTCTTAAAAGTAGTGGGTACCAATGTTCCCTTTAAGGTGCGCGGCCACACAGCAATCTCACAGACGCGCGCAGCAGTTTTGAGTACCGCGCAGCTAATTTCCACTTAAGTGTCTGTAGGCTGAAAATTCTGCGCACAAAAAAAATGATGCTGTAAAAATTTGCACACAACTTTATGATTTTGCACACGAACCAACAAACCTTAGAGGGAACATTGGTGGGTACAATGATATTAATAAACATATTTAACACCCCCTCCCCAAAAAAAACAACATGCAACTAAAAGTAAAAGTAATCCATGTCTAATTGAAAATTTCTTTGCTAACGATCTAATTACAAAATTTCTTTGCTAAGGAATCGGATGATCAGATCGTTTTATTGACCACCTTTCTTATTGAAGGAAATATTTCTCTAGCCAACTCCGATCGTTTTAATGCCAGAGTCAAAGAAATGTTTCCAGAATCACAGATTGATAGAAGATTGTAAAGAAAATTACAATGAAAAGAGGGCGAGCATGAAAGTTGATACTCTTTCTAACTTGCTTGTAACTAAAATCAATTGCAATGCTAACCTTCAGTTGTTCAAAAAACTGTTGTACAAGTGCAAAAAGGCCACTAGGAACTAGGAATATGCTGGAAAACTGAACTCCCTGTGTACATATGTAAAATAAAATGGATCGTCTGTCCTGTACCGTATATATCTGTATATCATAACTGTATATAAACATTTCCAGTCAGTGGACTCTTCAAAGACAATGGAGGTCACTTTATATATCTTTCTTTACTAAAAAAAATCGTGTGCATTAGTTTATAGATCTTAACCCACCCCCTGCATGCACCCCCTACAGATTTTTTTCTTGGCAGGTTGGCAGGTCTGCTATTACTTTTGTGTCCAATGACACGTTACAATTATGAATATGTGTACAGTCTATGAATGACATAAAGTATTTTACAAATTGAGAACTCTTGCTTCATGTCGAGATTGTAGTAGATTTTCTCTCAAGACTCAAAATGCAGAGTAGGTGGGGTTGTTTACACACCACTTTCTTTTATAGTATTCAGTCATCAGACAGTTATGAATATGAAAGTATTGATAATTTTGACATTCTTGAACACACACATTCCCTGGTAGTGTTCTAAGAAACTAAGTAACAGCTGAATTTTATATACCATGTCTTCCTTAGATACGAGGTACTGTAACGTTCTTGCCATTGTTTTGCTAATCCACCTTGCTTTGGTATATTTGTGTGCACAGTACATTTGAAGATAATTGCCAGAATCGAATGAAGAAAGTTATTTGAAGCTGTGTTTATTTAATTGAATAATTGCTTACTAGAGTACATATCTGGAGATTTATTAGCTCTTCTTTATATCGTAATGTGTGTTCTTCAAATTCCAAAAGCCTGTAAATACCGTTTCCCGTAAAATAAGAAATGCTTCCACTTTTTTCATCATCATCATTGGCGTTACAGCAAATGTAGGGTCCTGGCCTGCTCCATCACACCCTTTCATTTAGACATACCCATGTCTTTTCGTGTTCATGCTGGGTCCTCCAGCTGATTTAAGCCCTCTACATTTTGAATCCATCTCAGTCTTGGGCGACCGGTGAGCTGTCTGCCTCTTGGTTTCTGTCTGTAGATCACTTTCGTTGCTCTACGGTCCGTCATCATTTTAAGGTGCCCTGTCCAGCGCTGCCTGCCCCTGTTAATGATGTGACTATAGATGGGTCTTGGAACAAATGAAAAATCTCTTGGTTTGTATGGATTTATCCATCCAGCATTATCCAACAATGGGCAGTATATTTTCCTGAGTGTTATTCTCTCCCATGTATTGAACAGATTCTCTGCATTATTTGGCGAGGAACCATTTCCTTACATTATCACTGATCTTATAAAAGTGGCGAATAAGGCCTTCTTTGTTTCTTGGGAGGTTTCCGGTTCCACATTTTGATTTTTATAATTAATGAACTGTCCAATTTAAAAAAAAAAATAGTAGGACTCCCCAAGTCTATGAGGCATGAATGGTGCTAACATTTCTACATTAATTAATCATAGTTTAAAAGATGATATGTTTTACTAGTTTTCTTCTCTCCACCCCCTTTCTTCTCCCAACCTTACATACACATACATATCGCCTTCAGGTGGCCAGTCTTAAAAAGGGGGGGGGGGCGATATCGTGTCCAATCAAATCAATCCACCCAATAGTCATTGTCATGTCCCTTTATGACTTGGCCACGTCGTCCGACTGGTTGTGTTGGCTATCTTCACAATAGATAACGCGTCGTTAAGTGTAGAGCGTCAATGTATGAGCTCTACAAGCAGGTGTCGATTGAACGTATTTTTTTTTTTTAAGGAATGATGTGTTGGTCTAACATGTGTGTATTGCCGAACGATTCGGCATGCGTGTCAATTTAAATATTTAAATTTAATTGCTCATACCTGAGTAGATGTACTAAGTAAAATGTCATCTAGTCAACCATTGAGTCAACACTAAGTCTCCGCTGAAGGCCAAAGTGATCGAGTTTCATGTTTAATTAGTTAATTCATTGGGTGGGGAGGGGGCGCTGATCGTTGACAGGTACTCTTTTCATAAGTCTTGTGTGAGCACTTTTGCCTTGGAGAGTGGAACTTCTATATTTAAAAAAAAAATTTTTTTTAGCAATGTTTCCTCATCTTTAGTGGGAACCCATCTTGCATTTGGGGCGGGACTGACATTAATATAGCTAAGTGGAGTGTCTGTATACCTGTGGAATGTTTTTTTTTTTTTTTTTAATGTTGTGATGTGATCCTATTTATAGAGATGTGGTGTTGGGCTATACAACCTAGTCCCGTCCTTTAACAGCCCATAATGTCCTTCCCCCACCACGCCCCCTCCCCTAACCACCCTTTTCCTGAATGTTTTTTTTTTTTTTTAATGTTGTGATGTGATCCTATTTATAGAGATGTGGTGTTGGGCTATACAACCTAGTCCCGTCCTTTAACAGCCCATAATGTCCTTACCCCACCACGCCCCATCCCCTAACCACCCTTTTCCAAACAAGTCCCATCCCCTAACCACCAGTATCAGTCCACGTCCCACCCCCTACCACTTTTATCCCACCACGCCCCATACTCCACCATCCTTACCCCACCATGCTCTACCACCCCTATCCCACCTGCCTAGCACATCTTATATTAGTTCATACATTCCTCATCCTGTACTATAAAACTACCAAAGAGTCTCAGCAAGACCAGCTGCCGATGCTCCCAAAATTGTATTTAAGCTGTCTTGTAACGGGTTCAAAACTGGTTGTTAGTCTGTTCCCTTTTTAACTACTAATGTTTGAATAAATGTTCTCCTTTGGTGTTGGGCCACTTGTCCTATAAGCCATGGTTTATGGACCAGACTTGACGCGCATCTAGAACCGTTGTTTAGATGCCACCCGGCACACGTGTTGTGAACAATTGTACCTTGGGAAAAGTGCTCGCTCCTAGTGCTAAAAATAGATTTACCATAGCGTGTTATTGATGCCTTGCGTTATGTGCTCCACGCCATTGTTTATGGGGCGTATGTCTCCTATTTCCTAAGTAGTTATTGATGCAACCCATCTTCGTGATCAGGGGGAGTGGTCGGTAATTATTTTCCGACGCTGAAATTTCTTTGGTGGGGGAGGCCAGGGACATTGTCTGCACGGAATTTTAACATTACCATTTCTAATTAATTGGCTTCAAATAGCCTTGTGTGAGCATAAAAATAGTCTCCTACTAATTGACTTAGGGAATGTGCGCTGGTCAGTTACATTCTTTGTTAGGGAGGCTCTATTACTAAATACTTTGTAAGGAAGATTATTTAAATAGAGTGCTTTATTCAATATAAATTCGTGTTAACAGAATGAATGATGCTTTTTATGACTTTATTGCAATGTTGTTGGTAGGTGTGGGAGATGGAATCCTGCAAGATGTAATCATCTTGATTATATTACTTTTCTGTGCCACTGTATGTTCGCAAACAAGACACGCAACCACGAGAATAAGCGGTTTAGTGTTTCTTTGACTAATGCTACATATTTCTAATGATTTGAAAGTAGATCTCTTTTTCATATTAAATTTAAAAGCATCTGGAATGGATATTTACGTTTACCCCGTCTAGGGGCATAGGCATTCTACAAGAATTTTCCATTCATCTCGGTCCTGTGCTTTCCTTTCCAGTTGCTTCCAGGCATATCTCATACATTGAGTGACTGCCTCCAGCTTGCGTCTCCATGAAATTTCTGATCTTCCTCCCTTCCCTTTGCCATTTGTATTCCATGTTAGGGATTGTCTGGTGATGTTATCTAGGGGTTTACGAAGTGTGTGCCTTATCCACCTCCAGATTTTCCTGATGTTTTCTTTAGCAAAAGGCTATTTGTATGTCCTTACCAGTAAGTCTTTTTCGGCGATGATGTTCAGGATCTTTCTAAGGCAAGTGTCTGTGAAAGTTTGTACTATCTGTGTGATGCTCGCTGTTCTCCAAGTTTCGACTCCATAGAGTAGGACTGTTTAGACATGTGTGTTGAAAAGTCTGACTTTGGTTTGCAGAGGCAGCTCCTTTGACTCCCATATTTGCAGCCCTCCACTTTTTCCTTGATCGTCTCTTTCTTGCGTTTATTTATGATGGTGGCTACATCTTTTGTCTTTTCCTGCATTGGTTGTGAGACAGAAGTGCAATGTCATTTGAAAAGTCTAGGTCATTCAGTTGTGCCCAGGGAGTCCATTGTATCCCGTTCCTCTTTTTAGCTGTGATTTCTTTCATTGTACAGTTAATGGCAAGTATGATTAGAATTACTAGAAAGGGGGACAAGAGAAATCCTTGTTTGACTCCTTTTTCCACTTTGAAAGCATTCCTACATGCGTATACCACATTGTATCTATATCTGCTCCCATCCCTCTGTTGTGATGTTTTCCGGTCTATATGCTTTCCAATTTTAAGCTGTTTGATAGCCATGGCTATTTCTTCCTTATTAGGGGCACTGTCATCTATTTGTGAATCTTCCTTTGCTGGTCTTATATCTGGTGTGGCTGTGGGTGAAAGTCTGTTTGGTAATTCCTCAAAGTGTTTTGCCTATCTTCTTTGTTCTTTACGTTTCTTCATTGAGCTACCCCCCTTGTATTTAACCGGTCTATCTGGTTTCTTGTATCTTCCTGAGAGCTTTCTTTTTATGTCATATAGATGTTTTATGTTTTATTTTGAGTCTTGCCCGAACTAGCTGGTGATCAGATGCAACATTTGTTCATACATCTTGTAGATCTTCTGATTTTTTTAAATGTATGATCAATTAAATGTGTGATCAATTTGTTATCTGTTCTGTTTTCAGGGGACACCCAAGTTAACTTGTGGATATTCTTATGCTCTATTTTCTTTCCCAATCTTAGCGTTTATGTCTCTACCTTGAACACGTTTATGTCTCTACCTTGAACACGTTTATGTCTCTACCTTGAACACGTTTCTAGTATGACCTGTTGTCTATTGTAGGAAGCTACTTTTTCATCCTCCGTACCGTCGTTGGTGGGGGCGTAGCACGGTATTACATGTATATTTATTGTCTTCTTGGTTCGGAAGGTTGCTGTAATAATTTTTGTACCACATAATTCCCACCCTTTCAATGTCGCTTGTGCCATCCATGTCATCATGAACGCGACTCCTTTGTGTGTGTGTGTAGGGTGGGGGGAGGGGGGGATTCCTCCTCATGCCCTGAGTACACAAGTGTTTCTCCCGAGGCCAATGTTAACTGTTCAGCTTCTATCCATCTTGTTTCACAAACGCCCAACAGGGTGAACTTGTATGCTCTCAGAGCCTATGCTTATTGCCTTTGAAAAGAGGGGTCCACGCCTAAGAAGCTTCCGGCATTACGTGGCTTTTCCGGCATTACGTGGCTTTGGTTGCAAGGTTTCATAACTCTTAAGAGCACTCTTATTATCACAGCTGAAATTGTTACGGTTTTGTCTTCATATTGACGTTTCTGTCGCAATTGTTTTTTGTTGGTTTTTTTTTACATGTGAGGTAGATGGGCCTTAAAGCATACTATTATGAAATGTCGTGTTCTTCAACTTGGGAAGACAACGTTTTTCAATTGTGCGATATGCTCAGACAAGTGAATGCTGCCTTACCCGGACTTCGTCACGACGTTTTGCTAATATCTTCACAGACTTTCATAGAAATATTGCGTATTTCTCTTGGTAACATAGTTTGTCGGCTGTTACGAAGTTGTAAACGTTTGAACCTACATTTCGTTACTTGCTTCGGTAGGAGCACTTGTTAGTCTCCTTCAATCTGACCACCAAGGATCACGTTTTCAGACGCTCAGCTTCTCAGTTCGTCGCCAAAAGAAAGCTGATTGGTGATCCATCGAGCTAAATTTCGCCTGCAACATTTTCAACGTGTTTGAGATTGTCACCTATATAGGGGTTGAGCCATATGGGGAGAAAATGTTTGTAAATTAAAATCCATCTCTACTTAAGTGCGCCAAAGTGCATATCTTTGCAAACACGTTAATGGTATATTTTTAAGGGTATTCGTTCTAAATTTAATAAAGTGGGTTATCTTAATACAATGGCACATCGTAATGTTTTCTTGACAATTTCCGTAAGTTCCTGTTTAATCAGTCAGTGGTCGGCAACCTGCGGCTCTGGGGCTACGTGTTTGCCTTAGCGGGATAGATGCGACCTTTTAAAAAAAAATAATCGGCTCCCATTAAAAAAAATAATTACAAGCGATTTATATAATGACTCATCCCTTTAAAAAAATGTTACTGACCCTTAATTAGGTGGTAGTGTTAATCTACAAAAGTCCGTTCAAACGAAATGGTTCTGTTTAATGCAGTTAATTTCTTTTCATATATTACTCGACGGATCTTTACGATAATGACACACACCAGCCGCTGCAAGGGACAGAAGTCAGTTGGATACTGTCCTTGCCTCTTTTATGAGTTATCTTTCGTGAGCCTCCAATTTATTAGAACTGCTTCAAAGCATCGGCCATTTTTTCGACTGTACTGGTGGTGATGTCAGTATATGAAACATCATGAACTAGATCTATTTCTTTTAAATTGTATAAGAAAAAAAAACTTGATCTTGCGTTGAAATTAAAATCATTATAGGGGCTATCAAATCTGAACTGAAGAACCGCACCATCTCCCGACACAACCAACTCACCCACCTAGCTACCGTCAAACACTGACGACAGCAACAGATCAATAAAGTTAACAGGGGGGAGGGGGAGGGGGGGCGTAGAACCAGCCGCCCTTTCCGGCTTGTATTGATCGAAGGTTGCCTGTTGTGCAGATTTCCGTTGCTAAATCTCGAGTGCGGCCCTCCACAAGATCTAATCATTATGGGCTTACATCTCAAGAAAATAATAGCAAAGGTGGACACTAACAGGGCATCCATTTGTTGGATTAAGCATCTCTCACGCCCCATACGCTTGAACTCCTTTAATGATAAAGTTGCATGGCTCCTCCTAGAGTTCTCGTCCTGTCCCAGCGGCTGTCACAATTAACCAGAATTGTTTGTGTTACTGCATAACCATTCCCCCCCCCCCCGTTAAATAATTGTTTTGGTTATTGACAAACCCCTCCCCCCCCCCCCCCATTAAATAAATAATTATCAATCATCGGTTTTAATTGCTGTGGTTGGAAGGGGGTATTCCAATGTTTATTCGAATTCGGCTGTTCATTTTAAATCACAGTAGTAAGTTGTTTGCTTTAAAACTCATTCGCCCTGGATTTCGTTGTTTGTATAAACCTACGATACTAATTTTGTCTCATCATTTTTCAAATGGAATCCAACCACATTTTACCCTTGTTTCTGTCGTATCAAGTTTATTATAATGCCTTCAGAGTAGATAATGCCTTTGCGTTAGGGATCCCATTTTGAATTTCGTATATATACACATTGTTTAAAATAATATACGTGTATTTTATGTGGATTCTCATTGTGAGATGACTCCTCTTTTAGCACTCAACGCTGGTCATTTTTTTTAATCGAAATTTTTAAGACTCATTAATATTGATAACGAAACTGTAGAGATCTGATAGAGCGATAAACCGGTTTGCTCGGCTGGTGTATGTGTTGTATTTCCAAACCTGCCTAGAGCCTTTAAGTATTCAAGATGTTCATGTAAAGGCACATATTTTTTTTCCTTGGATCATTTGACTTGTCTAGGAATGCTTCATGCGATTGATAAATGCGGCTTAATTGCTTGTACTACATCGCAAAAATGCCAGGCCGTTGTATAAGCCGGGGCTGGTCACGCCCGAGGGTGGTCCTTGGACGTGTGCGTACCACCTTAAAGACGATCATACATTCTATTTCTATATGTAAAGCTATCTTATTGAATATCTGAACATTTAATAGGTGCCTTGATTCCATGAAGCGGAAGAGGCTCCTCCCCGTCTTTTTGCTAACTCGTCGTCGTCCCCCCCCCCTTCCCCCTCTTCTTGCATCTCTTCCTCTTAACTGACTTGACATATCCAATAGATACGTCAGCTTGGTGTCGTTGACACGCCCCCTTTTTTGCCTGGTCAACACTTGGATGTTGGTGTGGTCGTCTTGTGTCTTAGCTAAAAAGAGAGAGAGGGATGGGTGTCATGTTCTAGTCACACAGTCTTTTACTGCTTATACATTAAGTGATTCTTTTTATTGTCATCTAAGCTAGTTCTCTACTTTTCCGGGTTTGACCCACTTCACCTTTTAGTGTCATCTAAGCTAGTTCCCTACTTTTCCGGTTGTTTGAATCAGTTCACCTTGTATTTGTCTCAGCATTTACATACAAGGCTTTAATGACGTTTTCATTAACAACTTCCCCCGCCCCCCCCCCCTTTTTTTTTCGTAGAAAAAGTTGTTAGAATTTTAAAACCGTGGGGGTCGAATTAACTTTAATACAAGGAAGAATTAACTTTAATACAAGGAAATTTAATAATTTTATTTTCATTGGGTATGTTATTTATTTCGACCCCAAATAATAACACATACCTTATCTCAACTTATCATCTCAGCCAATCGAAGGCGGCTTATTGACATCACGTGCATAGGAGATGTGGTTAACTAAGACGTATCCTACAACAAGCGGCTTTTCCCGTGAAAAGTCCAACACTGAAGAACCTTCTGAATGATCCAGTGGAAATAATTTTATAAAGTGGATTGTACAGTTTTAGACTGATGTCATGGTGTAACGGGATTTGTAAAAATGAATAAATAAAAAAAATGGTCAGATACGATATATATTTTTTTAAAATATGAATAAGTCTGTAATCCCCATATTTCCAGGAACATCGGGGTGATACAGACGCGGCATCGATACCTCGCATGTCAGCTTTGGGCTGGCCAGACGCAACAAGGCTGTGTGGCAGTTTTTCGCGCCTCCTCTCCATAGCCCCCCACCCCTCTTGAAAAAAAAAATCCACTATCATCTGTTTTCTTCTCTGCTCTCTTCTTTCGCTCTCGCGCTTTGTGCCGAGAGCTGCTTTTCGGGGAGAGACTGTTCGCTAGGTGACGTTATATTGTTGGCACAAACTAGCACATGTTGAAAGTAGGTGGAGATGGTTGACGTCAGGATAACCACGACCCCTCCCCTGCTTTCATCTTGGCCCCAATGATGGCCACTGTGAACACGTCTTCAAGATCTCATTTTGCTTCATTTTAAAGACGTTCGATTGAATTCTTGAGCTATTTTATTTGAGATTAGTGGCAGTGACGTGGGCGTTCTTTTTGGACTTTCTTTCACTGTTTGTGAAACAAGGCCCTGAATCTACTACACTTGACTTTTGTTTGTTTGTTGTAAATTATGTAATATTACTGTTACATCTTTGTGTGTATTTTGTTGTTGTTGTTATTTTTCAAACTAAGCAATGGATTTACACGTAGGCTTGTTCCGAGTGCGTTTGTTTTTATACATCTACCAGGACATTCGGTATTTTAGAAGATAAAAACAATCTGCTTCATAAAGGATCTTCTGTTCTGGGATGGATATTTCGATCGGATATCTCAAGACGCAGTTTCAATTCTATGTTGTCCTCTGGCTGTAGCGCTGCTGGACTGACCACACACATGACCGCATAGCCCCCAACCGTGTGCTTCATTCAATGCGACTTTGTTTACCCGGCGTTGCAGTTGTGTCCTCGTGTCGCAGTCTCGCCCCCCCCCCCAAACCTCAAATCCTGGCAGACGTACGTCCTGGCAGCTCATCTACTGGAACTTGTATCTTCGGTGTTATTATCAACAGTGATGTAGTTGCTGCTCAGCCATTCGGCGTCTTATTGATTAATTCTCACTTTTAGCAATTCCATATAAATTGTCCCTGGGCTGCATCTCCTGTAACTACCCCCCACACACACACTCCCGCCCCCCCTTCTTTCCTCCCCCCTCCTTTTTTTTCCTTTTCCCATTCTCTGATTTGATGATTGTTAAGGATGAATTATAGATGGCCCGGATTCAGGCATGTTGAATAATGACGATGTTAAGCAATCTCTAGTCACTGCTTTCGGGGGGGGGGGGCGGGATTTGGTAAAGCAATTATGTGAATGGCGCGATTATTTGTTGTTGTTTTTTTCTTAAATTTTGTTGTGTTAATTATTAAGGATGAATTATAGATGGCCCGGATTCAGGCATGTTGAATAATGACGATGTTAAGCAATCTCTAGTCACTGCTTTCGGGGGGGGGGGCGGGATTTGGTAAAGCAATTATGTGAATGGCGCGATTATTTGTTGTTGTTTTTTTCTTAAATTTTGTTGTGTTAATTATGCTAATGACGTTCGTAGGTCTGTAATCTCACAGGTTTGAAGTGTGACTTATTGGAAAGTATTGTAACGCTTTATACTTAAAGCATATGTTTTATACTTAAAGCATTTGTTCTATACGTAAAGCATATGTTTTATAAATCGCCGCAAAGATTCGCGCTTAGGAAGCTGGAAGTATTCTCTTTATGTTCATTGGTTTTATGGCATTAGGAAGATTATATTCTACAGAACCTACCTAAAAAAATATCACTATTAACCTTTCATCTGATATTTTGATTTTGGGTAATTATTACAAGGCGTGTTTGTGCCATGTGGGCTTCGGGTGCACAGAGACCGTTGAACTTGATAGTTGGCACTATAAAGAAATCGATAAAGTGACCCTATGACTATGAAATAGCCCCGTGTCCGAGTGTGCATAAACGCGCGATGAAAAGCCCGGAGCGACACGAGAAATTTATGGGGGAATGTTAATGTTGGCCGAGAGCAACCAGGAACCAGTAGGAAGTCAAGTCACGATTTACTTTGAAAGAGTCAGGTTTTCGGTTAAATTTGGCCCGCCTTGTCAGATCTCAGGCTGTCACGTTGCGTAAGGGACGCTGTCATGAAATGTGAAGTGGCTACCCTATGAGCTATGTTGCCTGTGTTGGCTTGGAAGAATCTCGCCCAATTTGCATTTGACTTGGCATTGTAATCTGCGGGGCGTTGAAACGTAGTTTTTGTGTGAACTCTCCAGTCATACTTTAGTGGGGAAATGCTGTTCAATATTGTCGATCGCACGTTATCTTTGATCTCAATGTGTCGGAACAATTTGTTATTTTATTGATAACATCCCATAGCAAGTAAATGGTTTGTAATAGGGAGGCCTCTTTAAAATTCTTCCAGATTGTAAGGAGTAGAATTCTGTCGAGGTCGTGATTACAATTTCTAAATACCACCCCCAAAACCCTGTTCAGACATTTATTTCATTCGTGAAAATGAAAATCCAAGTTTCGAGGGTCAGTTTAGATACACAAACTCGGCGGAGAACTTGGATTGAAGCATAACAGTTGACATCTATTTCTTTGCTTCTCTTGTGGCTTGACCTTGTCTGTAGTATTTGCTCACTGTGGTGTAGCATGGCACATCACCCACCACCCGGGGAGGGGGAAAAAGTGTGTGAGGAGGGGGGGGGGTGTATTGGTTCGTTCTGTACATTGTCAACAAGTTAAAACAATCTTCACGATGTGCCCACGTTGCGTTGTAGGCATGGGCCAAACAGTGGAAATGTCTCAGATCTTTGTCTGGGTTAGTTGGGCAGTTTGCACAAGTGTCCCTCGTTAAAATCTCATTTTTGGAATGTCGTTTTCATGCCTTGTCGAGACCCTAAGCAAAAAGAGCAATAGATATATTTATTCGCTATTGAAAAAAAAAAAATAATACTTAAACTTTAACGAAGTTCATAATTTAAATAAGATTTTGATATATATCTATGTTTCATATTTAAATCTGTGCTAAATAATATAAGCCCCATGTGTATGTTTCGGACTGGCTATCTATACAAAATTGTTTGTATATTTAGTTTCCAAACCCCATAGTATTTTACTACGCTACTAGATCTGGTCGTTCCTTTAAGGCAGGATTAAATGGTTGGTGTACTTAAATGTTTATGAATTGTGCTGTGGCGGCACCGCTCACAGACACAACGCTCTTTTGGCCGGACTGCGTTGTGGCATGGCAGGCATGTCGATCTCCCGTTCTCGTCAACACCAATACAAATTAACTAGGGAAATGTGGCTTATCAACGTGTGTTACCCCGACGGTTGTACACAGTCCTCTTTTCTGAACTTCGCCCGGTACTGTTTATTAAATTACCCTCACCGGCCAAACTTGGAACATCACAATGGAAATCAATACAGTCTCCTGCGTTGGGAATGTTTGAACCGAAACTTGGTTGGAATTCAGCTAAACCGATTAGTTTCCCCCTTTTGAAGTGGTCATTACAGTGAAGTTTTAAAAAGAATCGAAATCGAGCAAACCCTAAAAACAAAGTTTTTCATATAAATCCTGTGCAACAGGTAATATCGAGCAAAGTTTAATGACCCACTTGCTTATACTCAGCAGATTTATTTCACCAACTATTTCAGAAAAACAAGAAACAATTGCTCACCAAACGCACGTGCTATATTTTTTTTTTTAATATAAAGAATCTCATTTAGCGCAGTTATCGGGAATTTTATATCGTGAAATCGGTGTTATCATATTTCCTTCATCCTCCCATTGAAAAACAGGAAAAACTGATTGTTGGGGGGTGAGGCTGAAAATTTGATATAATGTGTTTGTCATCGGTAATGAGTCTGTGCCAAGGTTTGGCTCGATATGTTGACGGGAGTGGGTCAGTTAGCTGTCCGAAGATTTTTGCCAGCCACGAATAAAAGCGAAGTTAATATATTTATGAAGCATTTTTAAAAGCTTCATAAATTTTCACATATTTGAACACTTCCAATACGAAATGAAATCACCGTGTTTCGATCGATTGATACAAATGTATGGACACGCTCATGGTTTACACTATCGGCTAAATAAATCGAATCATGAGCAGTTCCCCAAACGTAATCTCTGCTAAATATTTCAGATTTCCTTTATATATTTATTTATATGTTGACGGAAGCGTGTAGTCGCAGGATAATTAATCGGGTCGTCTCCAAGCCATAGTCTTTCTGGCTCTTCTATTTTTAAAAAAAAAATCTAGCAGCGTACTATTGGGAGGGGGGGGGTTATTATAATAGTCCTTTTATCTTAATAAGCTGAGATATGGGGGGTGGGGGGGGTCGCTTTTCGGTTGTTTGCTAATTTAACCGCAGCTTCACGCTAGCCCCTTTTCATATAAAAAAATAAATTGTGTAACTTTAGAACCGCTGACTTTAATTTGTTTCCGTCAGTTCGGTGACGCCGAAACTCAACTGGCTGAACAGTTGTTTGAGCCTAACGCCAGGGCGTGTGTCGCCCGTGTACGCCCGTGTTCATTTCCCGAGCAAACCTATCAACCAGCGCTCCTGCCCCCCGCCCCCGGGGGGCTCTCGAGCAATCCATTGATTTGGCTGCTGGAAAAGATTGTCATGTTATATGAAGGCAGTCTTGACTGTTTGACATTACAGGTTAACAGCTCACTGCTATCGATAACCATGGCGGCAGCAACCAACGGTATATAGTGTAGCAAACCGCAAGATTGGGGATTGTTCAAGATTTCTTGATCAGCTCTCTACAAGTATATCAACCATCCGTCCCCCCCTCTATACTTAAAGATGGGGAAACCGAAGTACAATGCAAGTTTTGATATCGCCATCGGCCAGTTGCAAAATATAATTACGTAACTTCCCACGATGTCAGCAGTTATCCTTTTTCATAATAGTAGTCGGTGTCATATTTAAGCCTGTCTTTGTTTTTTAATGCATCAATGCGACATTCCAAGTGCATACTTACTTCAGCGGCCTTCTCATAGCATCTGTTATTTACAATATCTTTTTATCCGTCACGTTCCCCTTCTGACCCACCCCCTTAATTCTCCTAATCTCCACAGCATAAGTAAGACGTAAAAACAAAACAAAAAGAACAAAAAAGTTTTTAGGATTTTATTTTAAATGAAGATCAACATTATGTTTGGTATGGTAGTTTATTTTGGGGACCTCAAGATTAACGTGGAGTTCATGTGAAACGTCTATAGCCCGATAAAAAGAACCCACACAATTACATTAGGTCTCTTATATTACCGGTAGTAAAAATAGACACCACTCGCTTCTTTAAGTCTAAACCCGAGTGACTATCACACGACCTGGGTCCAGCATAGGCACTTAATGTATAAACCCTTATTACATTTACTGCTATAACCTCTTAGTGGTTTACAGCTGGGGTGCAATTTTAACTAGAGCTTAAGAATTTAATTTAGAAATATAAGATGTTTCTCTTAATTATAATAATGCTTTATTATTAATCTCTATAAGTTGTATGTCGTGTTGTTATTTCGGCTGGCCGTGCGTCTAAAATTAAGTAGGTAATTTACACAACTGAAGCCTGCCACGGCACCGGCTTATGGCTGAAAATCCTTCCTTTTAGCCAGTGACATTGATACACCTCACATTAACCAAACCGTCTCCTCGGTTTCTCCAGCTTAAACAAGTGCGATTATGGCTTAGACCAGAGATTGGTTGGGGGGTGGGGTGGTCTACCGGAACTTTGCATAATAATCATTTCACCTTAAATTTCCGTAGAAAAAAACATCTTAGCTTGTGCGTGGCGATGTTTAACTTGGTCCCTAAAGGTGTGCCATGTTGCTTTCCACAGTGATGTATACTTAAGAAATATGCCAATCCAACCGCTATTACAATGCTTAAACGCAAGTTTTATTAAATTAAACCTTTAAAAAAAAAAAAAGCTTGATAGATATTTAGGCCAGTTGCCTATACCCCTGAAAGGAAATCCGATGTTATCTTTGGTGCTTGTAATGATTTATTTTACTCAAGGAAAGCCCTCACTAACACCAGAATGCACATGTGTATACACAGATATGAGAATATGGGGGGGGGGGTCTTTTTTGTTGATGTTGGTGATACTTAAACCCACTTAGTATGTTTGTTGTTTCTTTTTTGGCTCTTTATCTCGCACTTTGAACAGCCCATAAAATTGTGTTATGACAACCGAGCCATTGGCCTGTTATTGACCATTGTGTTCGTGCCGCCTGTGAAACCAACAAAGAAACGGTACCACACGTGTGAAAGGATGAGGTTCTTTACAAGAGTGAACCAGAAACGTTTAAAAAAGTGTTGAAACGTTCAGTGCTGTGACATACCTTTGGATTTATATGACTTGAGTTACATCACAAGCAGCGGGCGGGCTTTGCGTTCCCAGGACGTGGACACACTGACACTGGAATCACGTGGTCTCCCAAGCTGGACCAGCAGTCCTCCTGTGAGGAGGAGTTGTATGCGTCCAATGGCGAGTTCCTGGGGCCGTTAAGTGTGTTTGGCAGTCTGCACATGGTCCCTGGAGACATCTACTACTATGCAGCGAACTCTAGCGTCTTGTGTGTACAGCGGGACGAGCTCGGCAAATTTGTGGGAAAGGTAGTATAGAGGTCTGCTGTACCCTGTTTGTCACTCATAGCTGTATGTGGTAAATGTATGTGCTCAGTACCTGCTTAGTGCTCAACGGAAGTCTACTTTGAGCGATCTTTCCATTTTATATTTAGATGGGGGGGGGGGGGTTGATATGATTTGAGGGGTTCAGAATTTCTTATTCAATGTAATTTTGTATTGTTACACATTTAGTGCGACACTCTTCGTTTGATAGCCTCCATTTCATTAGTGACCAAATTTCCGTTGAGGAATAGGCATTCACCACCACTCATTACATCGCCTTTTCCATTTACCATAAATATGGGGTTAAAATAATGGATTACGAGTGATAACAGTTTTCATTTGATTTGACTATGTAGACAAAGAACTAGGGCCTGGCCAACCTCTCCTCTTCCACTACTCACCCCATGTCTCCGGGACTATTAAAGAGAGTAGGATCAGTTTATGGTAGTACTTTGATTGCGTCACTCCGCCCGTTGGTCTTAGGGTGGGGGTATCGATCCAGTGTTCGACTGGTTATAGCGGAGCTCGCAATTGATTTTTGTCTATCTTTCTTCTAAAGCGCGATGTGACCCCCGTGGCCTCCTTTATCTGTCGTGTATTATCTGGTGATAGCTTCTCCACTTGTCAGTTGGTAGAATAGCAGATAAAAGCACTGTGCCGGGCATACGGTTCTATGTAAAATAACATAAAAGCACCGTGTCATGTATACAATTCTAAATACAAATTCTGTTGGTGGCTATTGCTTAGTTGGCTTATATCGCAATACGTTTTCACGTGAAGGGACATCCGCTAATCAGTTTTGAAAGAATTTCACGTCATTTAAAAGATTTCTCATCAGTTGACTCGATCATCAAGTCAAATGTCTTGAATTAAATTGTTGTTACCTGTCTAAAGTTTATAATTCTTAGAAGCCACCGTTCGTTGAGTTAAACGAACATTTTTTTAAAATCTACCAGCCTACAATGGGAGATGCTTAGGCTCTAGGGCAAAAGTTCATATGAGCGGTTAACTTACTGGATCTGCTCTCTGACTACCGAGCTTCTTCAACATGGCTAAATTCAACACAGTTTGGACAGCTCCGCCACGTCATTTCCGACCTTGACATTGGATTAGAATTAGATGTCCTCTTAAACACCCCCTAGTTATCCTGGTCCTAGAGTTATCTATGTCCCTTAGGTCATTTGTCCCATTTTACTTAAAAGCCGCCCCCCCCCCCAAAAAAAAATTATAATATTTTTTACCCCTTTGTTTACAAGTCAACGAACGTGGCTGCGTCCTCTTTGTCCCCTTTTTACTAAAAGCCCCCCCCCCCCCCAAAAAAAAATTATAATATTTTTTACCCCTTTGTTTACAAGTCAACGAACGTGGCGGGGTCCTCTGGGCCGGTCGGGGGGGGGGGGGCTTGGGCGAATTGAATTTTGCGGGGGCCGTTGACGCTATTTATCTCCAGCCAGGACGTAGGAGGGTGCGGTTCCGGTGGCACTTTTCCCCATTTAAATGGATATTTTTGCGTCTGTGGTTACGCAGAGTTTTCTCGGGAGGGGGGGGGGGATATAAACGCTTGGCCCGCCTCTGGTGGCACTAACCTTTACCCCGAACTGAACCCGGTCGCGATAGAGGTATTAAGATATGCCACAGTCATATGATTGTCAGATAACAAAAAAAAAATTCTGTCAAATTTCAATTGCCCTGAGCCAAAAAGCGGCTGGGTTGTTGCTATTTCCGTGGTTTCAAGAACGAATTCTGACAGAAAAACGCCCATTTAAATGAACTATACTCTCTCAAATGGACTGTATATTGTGTTTAAAAAAACAAGAGATAATTTTTAGATGAAGATCAGGCGGATAATTAAACAGAAAAATTGAATTCTCTTGTAGCAACCTTTAGGTAAAATCACAGATGAAATGCAACTACAGGATTGTAATCTTCAGGCTAAAAGCGATTTCAAAAAATGAAAAGTAAAAATACGCATTAAGGCTTTGAGCAAAAAATCACCTTCCTTACTTTCTTTGTGGCAAACACCTCAATGAGTTCTTCATAGTTAAGGGTGATAAAAATGTCTTATTCAGCTGACAATGTTGCCAGGCAATTCAATCAAACCTGAGACATTGATGATCTCAAGTAAGTGTAGGTTACCGCTGCCTATGGCTGCTTTCTTTAAATACTGATTCGATGTTCGTGACTGATGCTTTCTATGCTGTGGTCTTTGTGGATCAAAATTCTTCTTCTCCATATTTGATGAAGACGTTGGACATGTGTAATGGTTAAACCAGCTTTCATAGTCCATGTCTGTAAGATTATCATGTACCACTGAATATTGTGTTGACTGGAAATTATCACTGTGAGTAGACACAGCTGGCTATACTACACAGCTATACTTATAATATAAAATATCAGGGCTGCAGACGGAGCCCACACAAAGCATGGGCCTTAGGCAGTCGCCCCATTTTCTACCCGCTAGTGCCGGCCCTGATGTCCTTAATTTGATGACTTTAATCAAATTGTATCAACACTAAATATTTTTTTTTTTTAATCCTTTGAGAAATCCGGACCTTTTTTAGGATAGTTTAAGTCACAGCTGTTCCAATAAACTATTGGTTACTTGATAGATAAAATTAAATAGGGGCATAGAAATTTAGTGATATTTGGGAGTACTCAACAGTTGTCAGTATTTGTTGACTGAATAGAGCCATAGCTCACCATTACTGATAAATTAATATCTTTTTGGCTGTTTTCTCTCATTGAAATACAGAGTATGGTTTAAAGCAAACAAAACCTGGCCTGCCCACTTCTGGATAACACAGATTGTGTGGGTGGTGCTAAATTTAGCATTCATTGGGATAAAATGACAGTGGTATTGGTGGAGCTTCTCTGGCAGCAACCTTATATCCTTTATAACCCCCTTCCTTTAAATGTCGATTTTTTTTCTTCCATTGATATTTAATTGGATTGTACTGTCACATCTCTTGACACATGGCAGTGATTTAATAAGAAAGTCTATAAATGCAGCAGGACTTGCTGAGTAGACAATATTTTCTGCCACTGTATCTATATTCTATTGTTTACTTAGTCACCTTGTAGTAAATGATGCTGATCCCTTCATTTTTTGAATGTTTCAACAAAATTGCTACATTTTATTTAAATGTTCCCTTCACTTATTATTTTTGTACATTTAATTGATGTCTTCATTTGTCATACCATTGTACCTACCCTTTCCTGACATTGCAAGTTATTTTGGGGTTTTCAGTTATATAAACCCACATCAAGGTCACCAGTCATAAACAGCCTGTATGACATAGTGAATTATGTGAATATTTTCTGGTCATATTCCCCCCCACCCTTTGACAATAAGTAAAATACATTTAATTGATAACATACTAGTAATATTTCATAAACTTAGTTCATGACTCATGCATCTCCTTACCTTTCTTTATGTTACTAAGGCTCCTGTTTTGAACATACAATCACAACCAGAAGTTAATGTAGCACTTGTAAGTTTCTTTATCATTAAATTTGTTTTGTTGACACTAAATCTTTTTTTTTTTTTTTAATGGTTTTGGAGTGTTCTACTTATACCTAGAAGTTGTTACAGAATTAACTTGTTTTTATTGTTCAATGTTTCTTTTTGTTTCACCCTTTAGATATTATTTTGATTTTTTAAATAATTTTTTTTATTGTTGGTGTTTTTTGTATTGTTCATTTATATATTTGTTAATCATTTCAAGCTGTTAAAGCTTTTTTTTTTAATAATGCTCCTATAAATTTATAAATTTAGAAGTTGAAACATGATAGCTTCTTTGAATCTTTGAAAAATTATTGCACCCTTTAAAGTATATTTCTTTAACTTTTACCACATTATTTTTATAAAAGGTTTTTTTTACCTGTTCTTTCTGGAGTCACAGTCCTATTTTCAAACTACTTGTGGCACTATTTTAATTTCCTAAATAATTTTTCCCACATCTGTCTGTTTACAGGCATATATATATATATATATATATTTTGTGGCAATATTTTTATTTTCTATATAATTTTTCACATATTTTTGTTTTTATATATATATATATATATATATATATATATATATATATATATATATATATTAAAATTTATTTTTTGTTTATATAAAAAAAAAAGATTGTTGCTGTTTTTAGAATGAAAATGTCCTGATTTCTATTCCAAGTTATTGAATTAATTGGGTTTTTTAAAAAATATTCGTGCACCCATTTGAAAGCAAACTTGTGTTGCGTGCCTAGCAGTTTGAGAGGCACCTTTTTTCAACATTTTCTAGTTTTTATCTCATACCTTGATTTGAACTTTAAACAAAAACTGTTTAAAATTAAACTCTTTCATTTCAGGCTACAGATCTGCCTTCCAACACAAATCCTCCCTCTCCAACACTGTCTCCTCGGGCAGTAAGTAGAAAGAAGCTTCCCGTTCCCCCAAATTTTATATTGTCGATATTATTGTGAAATATGCTGAAATAAGAGTTGGTTGTTGGCCTCTTTTTTCTTTTTCTTTTTTTTTTTTTTCAGATCTGGACATGACAACATAATAAGTGTAGCTATCTAAGCTGACTTTGTTTTCAGCCTTGGAATAATTTTTTTTTTTTTTAATTATCTTTGTTTCAGACTCCTGCCTCACCTAGGAATTTGAATCCTGCAGCCCAGCCTTTCCGACAGTCTCAAGTAAGTAGTTTTCATTGGATATCTGTACTTAATAAAGGGAAGGAAATGTTCTTTTTTGAGTAAATATTTAACAAAGTTTTAAAATTCAGATTTTGAAAACTTTATAAAAGGTTATTAGTAATTATTTTTTAAAATTATTTATCTGGAAGTTGTGATTTTGAAAATATCCATTGATCAATGTATATTTCTTTTTTTTTCTTTTTTTAATGCATTATTTGAATGTTGGCTGCACAATTTTATTTCTTAACAACCAATATACCCGGCATGGCCCTGGATTGCATTCAGAAAATATATTTTTACTGCAGTTTCTGCTGCCTATTTATTAGCTAACATTGAAATTAAGGGTTCTATTAAATCATGTTGCTCAAGAAAAGAAATAACATTTTATATTTCACCTATAAAAAATACATTGATATTAACTTTTGTAAACATTTTGCTCCACAACTGAATCCTGTTTCCTGATAGGATTCCGTTCCCCGGTGGGATCCTGTTATCATATGGGAGACCCATTTCCAAATGGCATCCCTTTTCCTGGTGGAATGCCGTTGCCAGTGAAATCCCATTCACACGCACACATACACACATACACACACACCAGAAACTTGTGACAAATGACTTTTCTTCTTAATTGTATTTGAAATATTAAAATGCAAATTTCAGTATCCCTAAGATGGGGAGCCCCATAAAAACAATCCAGAAATACTTAGTGGGGTTATAATTTAGAAGTTGTCCCTTTAAAATTGGTTGGAAAATGCTGAAGATATAGCCTTTGAAATTATCAAAATTTTTGGAAAATTCCAGACCGGCCCCTAATGGAGTGGACACTATTAGGCTAATTTTAAATCACCTATATTTCATTATGGACAATTATTGCTACTAAGCATGGTTTATGGACGATGAAGACTATTGCTACTAAGCATGGCATAGATCGATCGATCTAAAATGGGATATTTTGTATGGTTAGATCCCCCACCCCCAGTATTTCATTCTGGATAATGATGTATATATGTGCCAAGTTTGGTCAAGATCCATCAGTCCATGTAGAAACATATAAGGAAGAAATCCTCAAACTAACAAATTTTCACTCTTATAAATATATAAATCGGCCTCATCTGAGATACTTAGACATATGCAAAAGAGACATGAAGTCTGCCAACATCGGGATCTCAAACTAGGAGGACCTGGCAGAGGATTGATCCTTATGGCGGGACATCGTGAAGGCAGGATCACTACATGCTGAGGAGCAAAACAGGGCGGAAACAGCTGCAAAAAGAGCGAGGAGGAAGGCCAGTAAATACTGCTCCACCGCATTCGTGTGTGGGAAATGCAACAGAGACTGCCACTCGAGGATTGGTCTCACTAGCCACACCAAGAGCTGCAAGCAATAAAGATAATCTATCGTCTCCCGCAGACGGAAAGATGCCATACATACATATTATATATATATATGTGATTATAACTGAGATGTTAATTGCTGTTAATTTTCATCATCCCACAGCAGAGTCCAACCTCTCCTAAAAATTTAAACCCATCAGCACCTGTGTTCCATCAGACTCAGTCAGGAGATAGATCTCCATCTGAGGTTAACTTTGTTGGACAGGAGGCAGGATCTCAAGGTAAGCTAATTCATCTCATGCACACATACACAAATATATTTACTTGGCAATAAATGAGAGTAGTCCCCCAAATTTATTATTATTCAGTTTAAATTGTTAGCTACTACATTTATGACATGTAGAAATATTTGTTAAAAATGTGTTTTGATTGTAAAATTGTGTGCAGTTAAATTTCTCTCACTCAATAGTTTACTATTACCAGCTTGTAAGGAACATTTGTGTTGGGATTCATAAAATGGCTTTGTAATATCGGGTGTTGTAAATGCAGTTTTTTTATTTTGCTTTTGCAGGTCTGTTGACCAATGGAGATATCCAACAAAATGGCCCTTCTTTCATCGTGCCAATGGGTGGGAGTTCTGCAAGCCTGCTCAGAGGAGCAGCTCCCCAACCACAAGGTCCCCATCAGATGTCGGGCCTTGGGGTCCAGGGCACAGCGCAGGTGGGACATAACATGGCCACACAACCGTTGCTAGCATCTGGCGGTCAGTCCAACCAACAGCAGCATATGGTTGCTGTGGTATCACAACAGGGGTCGTTCTCTATAAATGTATCTGACAGTATGCGACAGGCGCAATCACAAGCCAGGGCTTCATCGGGTCAAGGACCTTCCTCTATAGGTACGTACTGCGCCTGATTATACTATTTTAAAACTTATTTAATTGAATCTGTTGCCTGACAATAGTTCAAAGGCTATTTAATTGTAATGCTAAAAGTTGTGTGCTTTTGCCCTCTTGTGTTGATGAAATTAAAGGTTATGTTTTTCTTAAAGTTTTACCTATTTTTTTTTATGAACCTATGAAACAACCCAAGCTTATCCAATAAAATATGCTCATCATTTTACTTCTGTTACAACTGTTCATAAATTTCAAAGAATTTTTACATTGTAAATAGCAAAGGCTAACCAATTATTAGTTTTATTTGCCTTTATACTAATGATCTGGCTTAGCAGGCAATGTTATATCCCATGCTGTGCTGTTTAAATTTATTTATTTATTTTTGTTCCTTTTTTGGGAAGTAATTTTCTTTAATATCTAAATATAGATCCACTTTTAACTCTTATGAATATCCATTATGAGAATCTTAGAAATATATTAGATACTCACATTACTGATTGTCTAAGATGGGAAACGTTTTATTGAAGGTGAATAACTCTGATGATTTTACTACCAATAATTGATGTATTCAGCATGTGCATTCATACTGATCAGAAGCTGAAGAGAAAAATCCTACCATTTATACATGTGGCAATAATTGATAATCATCATCACCATCAGGTGCTCAAACCATCTTAGCTTTATCATTGTTTTGTTCAATTGTGCATATTTTTCACCTATCCTTGTTTATTAGGTAAATTTGAACTTAACGTATAAATATGAAAGCGTATCTGAATGTTTCATGTATTGGAAATCTCCTAGTTTAGAAGACATCAGGGTAATTGGAATAATCAATCTATTTGTGAAGAAATCATGTGAAAAGAATTCATTCTCTTACATGTTTAAAAGTTGTAAAATTATGATGACTCTAATTTGGAAATATGTCTATTAATTTTCAAAGGTAATGGTAGTGGTGAACCAGGTGATATTCAAGCTACCCAAAACATTACTGTGGTTAGTCAGTCAGCTGGTGGAGAGGAGGAAGCAGAAGGAGGTGACCTAGATCAAGGAGCCGTTGGTGGAGAAGGTAGGACCACACAAACACACACACAAAAGCCCCCCCCCCCCCCCCCCTCTAAAGCTAAGACAAATTTGTCCCAACTTATTTGAAAAAATGTATCTTTGAATAAGTTAAAATTATTCTTTTTTTATTATGGTTAATGGTTCAGTAGTTTTGGTCTCACAAGGCAGAGAAATAATTATTAATTAAAAAAATGAAATAAAATACATAACATACATTTTCAAAATAAGATTTAATTACATTTTACATTTGTTACTTTTTTTTTTAACCATAGACTCAATTAAATTATTTTCAGTGCTTAAACAGGTCCTAATTGCATCTTGACAAGCACTTTTATATTTTTTTCTGCCAGTTATGTTAATCAATAAAAGGTTTTCCCCCTCAGGAGCGAAATATCCAGATGCTGTGCTGGAGCCTATAAGGAAACAGATGCAGTTTTATTTTTCTGCGTGAGTAAATTAAGTTTTTTTTAAGTCTCCGAAAATAAATATTTTGCCAATTTCTATTGAGCAATTATGGTTTTGCCAAATATAGTTATTTAACCTAGCAGGTGAAAAAGACCTTAACAGAGTTAACAGTTTTTTTACTCATCAATTATATTACCTTTAACTTCTTGTTTATTTTTAAAGATTCAAATAATTTAAATAAATGTAAATGTAGTTTTTACCTAATTGAGATAATTGTTCAACGTGGCCATGAATTTATTTCCACATTTTAATTTCAAATTCAAAGTTTCACAAAACTAAATGACAAAAACTAATAATTAAAACATATTTGCAGAGAAAATTTGCCAAATGACAAATTTCTTAACTCCAAAATGGATCCAGACAAGTATATTCCCCTCAGTATTTTTCTGGACTTTGGCCGCATCAAACCCATTTGTAGCAACTATGAACAGCTGGCACAAGCAGTAGAGTGTAAGTAGCTCACCATGATATTTAATTTTTCCAATTTAAATTTTTAAGTACAAGCAAAGAATGGGGGGGGACCTAATTGGACCCACCCCTAAGCATATCCAAGAGGAGTGGGATAATAAAAAGGAATTTCAAACCCAATTGGTATAAAACTGTTCTAATCATAAAGTAAGTGTGTGCCAGAAAGTAAACAATTTCTTTTTATACTAAACACTTGTCTAGTCCTAAAAACTAATGAATTTTACATTCGTCTTTCTTTTTAAAAAAAAAATTTCTCAATGGATGTGCTGTGCGTTTGTAAATGTTTGTTTTTATGAGCCAGGGCAGTAAACTTTCATATTTTTGTCATCAGCAAGCTCCATCTTGGAATTGAATGACACTAGAACAAAAGTGCGAGTTTCACAATGCAGGAAAACTTTGACTTTACGAGGCTTTCCATCAACCGCTGTTGAAGAGGTACTTATCCTGAGTCGACAACATTAGTGAAACTATCTAAATACTTGTTGACAATGTTGTGGAAAGATCTGAAAAAATAAATCTATTATATTGTTTGATAATGTTGTTGAAAAGCCATGAGAATAAACCTGTTATAATTGAGGACTAATGTTGGTGAAAAGATCTGAAACTAAATCTGTCACATTTGATGACATTATTGAGCAATGACCTGAAATAAATCTATAACCCAAATTTATTTCTATAAGGATGTTCGTCAATTTATCCTTGATATGGGTGCCCCTACTCCAACTCATATCGAGTTTGTAATGGTCAAAGACAAGTTATCCACCTGGTATGTGAGCTTCAAGGATGAGTCCATTGCATTGAACAGTTTCTTCATGCTGCACAACACAAAGGCTGATTACAAAGGCTTTCCAATTGGGGTAAGATCATCTAATTATATAACTAGCGATTACAATAAACATTTGGGTTCAATGCTGAATTTAGTTGTCACATTATTTTTAATCTATGCATCATGCATTGTTTATTCTTATTGCAAGCCCAGTGGTGCATGGAATCCTTGCCAGCAATCTTTATATAGTTATTGTTGATTTTGGGGAGGTGTGGGGCATCATTTTCACAGTAGGTATGAAATAGTCAATCATTTCTATCATGACCTGACTTTCAGCAACTTGCAAAATTTTCCAAGGCTGCATGTACCTCATCTCCAAACAATTCAACTTTCAATTTAAAAAAAAAAAATATCATTGTAGCTAATCAACCTTTTTTTCCACAGTGCTGTATAAAGTCTTCTGGAACTATGGCTGCTGCTGGCTATTTTCCTTCATCTGAAGAGTCTAACCAAAGAAGACTAGCACATCAGAATCAGGTGGCAGTGTCGGCAGTGAATCCATCTACTGTGCCAACGGTACAGAACACCATGGCTCAGCCCCAACAGCCACCCACTTTGATGCAACAGTATGGTGCTATGCAGTTCCACCATCACCCAATCATGTCAGGATCTCCTGGAATTTTTTATCAACAGGTATCTTGGTTTTTTTTCTTGCTCTTCTAGCTAATTTGAGTTTATCTTGATTGTCTTGTTCTTAATATGTCAAATTGCAGATTACAATAAATGGTGGTATAGTCACGATTTGTGGGTTTAAAATGCCATACACTGGGATAGCAAGTATTTTGGGGTATAATTGCTATAAGGTGTATTGCAAGGATTATAAAAGTTCTTCTGTCTGGTATTTTTATATTTATTTGTTACACAAAATTGTTTATAAAGTACAGAACTTAATTTGCAATTTGACATTTGCTTGTATTTTGCTCCCCAGAACTTAAGTAATCTTCCAAGCTAATACCTGTTAACTTTTCTTTATCACTTATGCTGATTTGCTTTTATGGTTGCCAATTGCTTCTTTACGACTTATTAAATACCTGGGAATCCAGTTTTTTTTAGTTTTTTTTTAAATTTATTTATTTATTTTTTTACCAGACACCAACAGCTTCTTACATGCCATACAATTGTATGATAACCCCTAGTTGGCCAGGACCTGCCCCAGCTATGGAACCAGGAATAGTGAGTATTGAGGCCATCTGTATGGCGTACAGGCAAAGACGAGCAGCCAGCCAGCAGGTAGAACCAATCTAGCATGACACACACCACAAAGCAGCATGGTGTGTTTTGCTGCTGTAATCATGCCACTCTAATCATTCTACCCCATCAAGAAACTACTAGTAAGGTCAACACTAAATAAACATGGACCGTGAATCAGTTCATTTGAAATCTTAAAAGGATAGAAATGTAATGAAATCCTTTAAACTTCTTCAAAATGATCTAATTCAGTATAAATTTGGGGGAAAAAACTCACTCCCTAAACTGATAGTGAAACTTTCTCTTGGCAAAATTTTTGTATTATTGGCTGTGTTAGATAGTTTATGTGTGTTGTATTTTTTAAACAACATGAAAAGGGGCTTAGAAGAGATAAATGCTAAGTACCTATAGCCCTATTTTTTTAGTCTCAAAATTAATATAAAAACAAGGCAGTTTTGCAAAAGCTTTTGCAGGAATACTTTTTGTTAGCAGTTATATAGTTTTATCATTTAGTGGGTTTTATTATGTCCTAGATTCTTTGGTTAATCAACTAATAAGTGTCAAAATGAGAATTAAGTAAGGCTGAAAACACATTTTAGTACAAATTATTTAAGCATGGGCTTATGAATCAATAAAATTCTTTAGTTGGTTGTATAGATTGTTCATGGAAATGGCTTTTCCAATGTCCAGGTTGTCCAAACTGGACTGAATACCAGCAAAAATAAATAAAAGATATCAAGAGAAAAAAAACATAACTATCAAATTTAGTCTAATCTTAATTTACAAAATATAAAAATCTCACAAACTTTTTAAAATTTAACCATACTCCCTCTGCACTATTTTCATGTCATAAAATCTTTTACAGTTTCATGAAGAATAATGTATATTTGAGAGGAAATATAGATAGCAAATCTAAATGAAAAAACAGACAGAAAAATTTAATTTATTGAATGTTAGTCAGTATTCATATATCTCAAAATTTAATTTTTAAAAAAAGATGCAGATCTGAAATTTTTACTCTTAATCTACATTTTACACAGAAATTTCTCTAGTTCTTATTTAAGAATAAAATCACCTACTTTAATATTTGATAAAAGCTTTGAGGGGGCAAATGGGAAAATTATTTATTTTTAAATAAATATTTTGTTCTTATTTAATTTAAAATTCAATGCTTATGTAATAATTAAACTACCGGTACATTTGAATGTTTTTAATTGAAACAACTGGTTACTATCATTAAAAAACAACAACACTTAAACTGGAAGAGGAATTAAATATTATATATCTCTAATGTTGCTATTAGGCTTAGGCATTAATGAATATACCATGCATTTACTACTTATGGATACACATGAGACTTACAAATGTATTGCCATTTCATTGTCACTCTGTGGAGAGAAGAAAATCAGTCAGTAAATGTGTATACTCAAAACATAATTTTTAAAAATTAAATTAACTTTCTTAGCTTTTCAAATCAAGCTATTGAATTTGGAACTATTAAATCATATTGGTCAATGCATGTTTGCAGTGGTGAAATCATTGGCAGGAAAGACTATTTACACAACTGTGCAATTGTGTTCAATCCCTTTGTTTGTTTTTTTTTTAAATTTAAATCATACTATTGACATTCAAAACTTAATAAATAAGCATTACCAGGTATAAATACAAATGTATAGCCTTCCTTAGATCAGAAGATGTATGCATTGTTATCTTTATTGCAATAGTGTAAGCTTAGAATCATTTGATTGGAACAGTTTCACAGGACATGGCTAGCTCACATATTTAGCCATAAAATTTAAAATTTCAAGATTTAAAAAAATAATAAGCACCTGAAGCTTGTGGTTTGTGGTATCTTCTGAAAATGATATATTGGAATAGCTGCAATTCAGCTTTATACTTATCTCTTGTAACAAAGAACTGATATTCAATGAGCAAATAAAAATATTTTTTCTGTGTGATTATAAGTATTGGGTAAATTTTCATGCAAGGGAGAGGGCAGTTGCATTGGACACTATATCATAAATATCAACTTTTATGCCAGATCATATTTAGCATACATAATGAACAGCTATAGTTTGAAAACATGTTATATTTATGTATAGAACCATTAAGTTTTTGTACCGGTACTTAACAACAAAAAATTGAGCAGGCAGCATAAAAAAATAGATCAAGCTGCAACTTAAAGTTGATCAGCAAAAGCGCTAAATGCACTAATCGTACAAAACACAAACTTACTTTAATACTTAATTGTTTCTAAAAGAAAAGACTGAATGTGTAAGAACTAAAACAGCCATTATCAATGTATTCCAACAAAAATTTGTGCCAAGATTGTAAGTTATGCGTTGATTATTTTTAAAGGTACTAAAATAATAAAAATCACCAGACCTAGCCTGCTTTGTGTGTGTGTGCTTCTGATTGCTGCTGCCCATCTACCAACTGATAATAGTGTTAATTGGTTGTTAAAACATTTTTTTATACTTTCTCTTTTAACAAGCATGTGAACAAAGTAAGTAGAATATTTAATTATGAAATGATAAGTACCTTGGAGGGAAATACATGTATATTTAATTCCTGTGATCTGTTTGAGGGGATTGTAACTTTCCCAGCTGTCAATTACATGAAGGGGAAGAAGAAGAAAAATCCCATTTCAGTTTTATTTGTTCAATAGTTCACTTTGCATCAAGGATAAAAAATTTTGAAAATCTACCTGATTTCTTTTTCTTGGTTTGTTTTCTGCACACTTTGCATGAAGACTAGCTATGAACTGGCATTTTTAATTATATATAATTTTTAAACCAAAAAAATGTTATATTTGTGAACATTTAACAAAAAAATTGCAAATTATTTTAACAGCTTTGCTGGAATTTTCAATTTTAAAGATTTTAATGGAAATTAAATTAGAAATGAAAGCTATTATGAAAATAGATTCTTGAAGAAACATTTTTATTGTCTCACCCCAAGAGATGGTTGAATGATAAAGCAGGCTGAGACATCTGATTTTATTTGTTTTATTAAAGTCTTTCTAAAATGTGGTTTCAATTTCAGTCATTGGCAGCATAACAGTAAAGATTTTCCAAATTTTAAAAAAAAAACATTTAAATAGTTGATTTTGGGTCTTTGTTTTACATTTTTGACAGTTTGTCTAAAGGGGGCTAATTTTATTTAAATTTTGTCTTTTTTGTAACAGATAATGCAAAATAATGGTCTTCAGCCCCAGCACATTCGTGCAAATGTGGCTGGTAGGCAACATATCATTTCTTCAACTGGAGGAAGCCCTCACCGCTTCAATAGGTATATTTTAATTTCTCATAATCTTTGATCCCCTTATAGTAAGCAGCAGCCTGTGTTGACCAAATATGGTTTACAAATAGCTTTGAGAGTTGTGAGGGGTATTTTTACCTACACATGAGCATACTATAATCCTTGTCTAATCTAATGGTATTAATTTGCTAGGATACTGGTCCTCACTAGACACCACTAATTCTTTAATATTTGTTAATTATATGTATGATTAATTTTAGTATAAGGCAGTATGGATAAAAGTTTGAAAACCACCAAGGTAATAAAATCACCTCCTGAGGGGTAAATGGCAAACCCAGCAAGTTTACCATTGTAACATCCTTTTCAGCACCAAACCAACTAACTTTCTTGTTAATCTAATCTCTGTATTCCCACTGGCAATCTAATCTCTGTATTCCCACTGAATATATTTTTTCCAGAAGTATGCATTTACTTTTTTTTGTATGTCTTAATAATCAAAGTTACATAATTGAAAGGCTATTTATGTCCATCATCAATAGAAGGTGGGGTTACCACTTGCTGTAATTTTCAAACACTTTTTTAATCCAACAGGCCACAGCGCTCTAACAGACAGACTATAGAGCGGAGTACATCAGAGAGGCCTCCTGTAGTGTCTGTTTCGAGTGCATCATCCAGAGCTAGTCCACGTAGTGCTGATGGTAATGTAAATACCAGTGTCGTCCAGCAGACTGGGGGTTATGTGCAACGTCGCTCCAGAGATGAGGTGGCTCAGGTGATGGCCCCACAGCAGATGATACAATCCCCCCACCAGTTTGTGACACCCATGGTGACACAACATCAACAGCAACATGCTGCAACAGCGGTAACTGCAACAACTGCTATAGTTAATCCAACAGCACTTGAGGCCAGTATACAACACTTTCAACCAGCTCAACCTCAACAACAGCAGCACCAGCAACCAATGATGGTGCAAGCTGGGATCTCTGTGCCCACTACTGCCCCTCCTCTACCAACACCACAGACAAGCAACCCACCTCCTCTGACCCAGCAACAAATACATCACCATCAACCCCCACCCCCTATTCCTCCCATGCACCATCATCAACAGCCACCCCAGCCAACCCACCATCCCCAACAACATCACCACCACCAACAGCAAACTCACCATCCTCCTCAGCACACAAGCAACCAACATCCCCACCACCAACCTCCTCCGCCGACTCCCCAGACACATCAACATCAGCAGCCGCCCCATGCTGGTCACCATCAACAGCATCATCATCCCCACCCTCACAGTATGATGCCACCTCCCCACCAGCAACAGCATCACCAGATGCCTCCCCCACCACCTTCCCATCAGCAGCATCATCAGCAGCATCAGCAACCACCACCCAGTAATCGACCTGAAAGGTAAATATTTATTAATTTGTTACTTGTTTTTTAAATATTTTTGTGTGTGTTGAACTGTGATATTTTTCTAAGTGCCATGATATGTGCATTCATTGGCGAATGCTTTGAATTCTATCACTCAGTCCTTCTTAGAACAGTGCAAAGCTTTAAGGGCTAGAATCAGATGTAACAAGTTGTGAGAGTTGAATTCTCTGAGTTATATTGGTTTTATGCACTTAGCATAAAGCATCTAATTACTTTATGTTAATCACTTTTCCTTATCTATAACACAACTATTTGCAACTTGATCAATGCTTTTTTTCCCTTATTCTTTCCACTTAGAAGAAATAGGAGAAACAGACGAGATGAGAATGTTCGAAATCAAGTAAGTCAGCCGATAATGATGTATAGTATATTTAACATAATTTACAAAAAGGCCAAATGTTTTATCTACACTTTTTGGGAATAGACTAATTTTAATAAATATTATAGTTACTTTTAAGTCAATGGATAACAATTAAAGGGGGAAAATAACATTTTGAAATAAAAAAAGAAGCAATCTATTTTTAATAATCTTTGCAAGATGAGTAGATGTTGAAAAATAAAAAAAAAAATTATGTCTTGTCTAATTTAGCGAGGTGGTGAGCGTAACCAGTCTAATAGAGCCAATTTTAGCTCACAGCAACCTGCTGCTGCTGATAATTTCACGATGGAGGCCAACTCTTTTCCACCTTTACCTGGTGCAGCAGTAAGTTTTTGCTTTGTAATTGTTGTCACTTAACCTTGTATTGAAGATTTTCTAGGAATTGGCCATTGTGTGGAATAGAACTTAAGAGAGGGACCCAGTGATAGGATTTTTCCAGTATATTTGTTTTTCAATTAAATTTTATACAATAACATTATCTTTTTATTTTTAATGTCATAAATTTGGCTTGGTTAAACGAGTTTATAGCTCATGCAAAGAAACTACGGCAAATAGAAAAGATGTTGTGATGGTACCAAATAGAGCCTGAAAAAAAAAGTGTCTGACAAAAATGTTTTAATAAGTGGACTAAATGCATGAATTCCACTTTTATTCACTTCAACAGAGATCTGCAGCTCTATTTAAAGTAAGCATAGTTGTTTTAATTATTGATTATTGTTCATGGTCCTGTTGTGAATATCTAGAACATTTACTTTTCATTTTATAAACATGAGAAATTTTAATATCAAGCTTGGCCATCACATCTAGGATATATGAAAGAGCAAATGGGGTAATAAATAGTTTAAATATTACCATTTCAACATGTTCAATTTATATTAGACATCATTTTAAACAATAAAAAAATTGCTATTTTTTTTTTTTAACTTACAGAATAGCATCACCAACTCTGAGGTCCCTTTAGAGAACAGAATGTCGGATGTTGTGAGGGGAAAGCCTCGTCCTACAGGCTCAGTCAGCTCTGGCACCCCACGAGCTGCCTCTTCTACACCTAGCCCGGTGGCCACTCCTGCACCTCCCAGTGTGGCATCTGTACCAACAGCTCATCATGGTGTAACCTCGGCTGCTGCTGAAACGCATGGTGGAGATGATGGAGATTCTGCTGTCGATGATGATGCCACCTCTTCCTCACAAGAGGAAGTGGATACTGATGGTACCTCTACCGACACCAGGTCACTTCGGTCAGAAACCCCTTCTATCATTTCTCCATCAGAGCCGTCAGCAGTTCCTGTACTATCAAGGTATCTTAGATTGTTTTAGTGTTAAACTGTCATTGCCTTTCATATAATCTGACATTCACTAAATATTTGTCAATTAATACTGATTTTTTTTTTACATATATTTTCAGTGCCTAAGATTATATAGAGGCAAAAAAAAAAATTCATATTTTAACATTTTTATGGATGCAAAGACACACACGTGTCTGGCAGCCAAATGAGATATTTCACACAACCACCTATTTCAGTTTATCAACAATGCAACTAAACAGAGCCACTGTAAACCCTTGTTAAAAATTATATCAATGCTTTTTCTACCCCTTTTGTCACAGGGTAGTGAATATAATCTTAAGTTCAGCTCGATGAAATAATTACTGCACAAAAACATACAGAGGCGGAAGGTGGACTTCAAGTTGTCACTAGGCTAAATGTTAATAAATACACACCCATATGCAAAATATGCTGAATTAAAAATGCCCTCAATGAGTACTTAATACATGCATGACCCCCCCAACTAACCACTGTTAATTTAAAGATCAGTTTGTGTAAAGATAAAATTTAATTTTTTACATTTTTTTTAGAACTTAACTCTTTCTTTCCGGAAGTAATTTCCGCGTTCTGATGGAATTATCCATTTTGCCTATTTGTTACGCACTACTCTAAACCATCATAACTATTTTGTTTTTCAAGTCTGGTATGGAATTAAAGGGGAATGCATGCTCTTTGCAAGCAATACAAGCTTTAAATTTTAATATATAAATGTAATTATGATTTAAGGAAAATAAAAATTTAAAAAACAACTCACCAACTGTTCACAAAACGCTCATTCCAAATCACACAAAGAGAAATATATAATCCAATGTGTAACAAAAATGTTTTTTTTTTCTGAACTATATCCATATGTGCATCACAAATAATAAAGATCAACTTAAAAAAAAAGAAAAATATTAAACACCAGAGCACATCCATGTCACCGTCATACAAACTATTTCCGGAAAAAACTATTTCCACTGGAAACAATCTGTTGCTATTAGAAAATATTTGCATTGTATCCTTGTATGTACTAACATTTAGATGGTAAAAGGAAATATGACAAATTAGTCATACCTTTTCATCTGGGTTTAGCTATGGTAAGGCTGAAAACAGTCCATATGGATATGCGGACATGACTCACATTGACTCGTAAACCGGTACATTTTGTCCTGTTCTATGTTTGCACACTGTCATTTTTTAAGCTAATAGGCCCATGTTTTGCTCTAATAAGTCTTGTTGGAGTGTTGATTTTAATTCTGTAGGAAGCATACTCATTTATTGAGAGTACAAGCTTGTGAATAATATGTGTGTCTAACAAAGTAAAAAAAAAACAAAAAAAAACAGTCAATGTCATTTGACTTACTAGTCACAATACAAGTTCCAAATTTACACCTATATTTTTCAAAAGATAAAAATCTGAAATTGCACTCAGTTTTAGTGCTAAGATCAGCAGCTTTCCTTTTAGAATCTACATTATTTATATTAGGAACAGTATTAGCTCTTCTAGAAAGCACTTTAGCTGGGGCATGTCTGTTTGTTCATCAGCTGATGAATTACCAATTTCATTATTTCGTCACTAGTGCTACTAAATACTAGTACTAATATTATAATTATACAATTCATCAGAATCGGTTTCACATTCAAAATCATAAAATCACTGTCTGAATCGTCATCAGAGTAATAATATATTAACCTTTATTAGATCAATCACCAGATGGGTCAGGGCATGATTTCATGTTTGTAAACAAAACAATCAAAACAACCGCTTCAAACACTTTGTTCTATGTAAAAAAAAATAGTTCAAAAAGAGCAATACCGGATGTTTTTCAAAGGGAAATCATTCCAGATTTTATTTAAAATAACTAAAAACCAATAGTTTTGAAAATAACGAAATAAACAAATTTTTATACATCGTCGATGGATCAGCCAGAAACCTTGGTTAAAATCGACAATGGGAGCGTTGTTCCGGAGAGAAAGAGTTAATTCTTATATATAGTTAGATGGGATTCGTTAACATGTTTTTGTGAAGAGGAATATTTCTTTGAATATGACATTATTAGTCCACCAAAATCTCAACAAACTGATTTATAAACTAAAAATGTCATCATTGCTGGTCAAGGGATTAGCGGAAAGTGACCAGTGAAATATCCTCATCAATACCAGGCACAGAAAAATCGCAAATCCCCTCTACATGCATATAGCCAAAATGATCAATAAATTGATCGTGGGCCCTTAATATATAGAAGACGAAGATTGTGATTTCATAATTTAAAGGAGTTTTCTAGTTCTTAGTTTTCTAGCTTTGATTTTAAAACTTTAGTTTTCTAAAGATTTATACTTAATAGTAAACAAAGACATACATTTTTAGGAAAGTATATAATTTGTACCAAAATTTTTCAGGTCTCAGAAAACGAGCACCCCAGTAGCCGCACCTGCAACAGTGTTGGCCCAGAGACAGGGAGAAAATAAGCAAAGTCACAATCAAGGTGCTACTAGGTCTCAGCAATCTACAGCTCCACCTCAACAGCCAGCATTGGTCTCACAAGCATCATCTGTGGCCACATCTGGACCTGTATGTCTCTTTTTTTTTACCTTCGCAGTAATGAATAGATTACAAAGGTTTTAACTAGGGTTTTTTGGCAGTGGATTGTTGATGACTAATGGATTAGCTGAGATTATTTATAATAGGTCTAGAGATAGATTTTAAAAACTGAAAATATGCTGAACATAATCTCTAGGGCAATAAATCTTTTGTAGAAAACTTGACTGCCAGTCATTAACATGCCCTGAACCTTGTTGAAGCTAAACAATTTTTTTCCAGCTTAGTTTGGTATTTTGATATTAAAAGACATTCGGATCAAATACGTAAAACTGTAAATTAAATTGTAAAACATACATGTTATAAAATCCTTAGTATAATATATATTTTTTTGTTGTTTAGATATTTCTATTTTTTTTTTTTTTAATTTATCTGACACAATGTGTTGAATTTCCCATACTTTGTTAGTGCAGCAGATGCAAGGTCTTAGGTGGAGTCTGCAGGACATCTTGCATCTAAACTAAGAAAGTGGCATTTCTCCACTATATGTGATGTATTTAAAATAATAATTTGAAAAATGTTTTTTCATGGTTGTAAATTTCTTTTGTTTTTCCCTCAGCTGGATGCTCCAAAACTTTCATATGCCCAAATGGTTGCTCAGAAGAATAGGGAAGCTGCCAATGGTGCCAATACAAGTGATTATACAAGTGGGTCATCAAGCCCTAACCCAAACTCAGGGACCCCTAATGGGCCTTCGTCTGCCCAAAATAACAACACTGCCACATCTAGTGGAACCAGATCATCCAACCAATCATCAAATGCCTTCCGAGAACAGGGAAATTACCAAAGTGGGCAGCAGCAAGGTTCGCGCTCAGCCCCTCGTGGGTCATCAAAAGACAACTTGCCCCGCGCTGATGGGCCACCTCCATCCTCACGGCCACCAAACGGTAGCCGAAGGAACTCTAAGGAAAACCGGACCTCAAATAAGTTCGACAGACGAAAACCTGAACCTCGTCCAAAGTGATTCTAGTCTATCTCACTCTTTATATTAGTATGGAAGAAAAAAGTTAGTGAGATATCATTTGCACTCCCACCCTACGTATATCCAAAGTAAAGGACGGTATTTCCAGACTGTGTGATACCCTCCATATAAACTAATAAAAAATTAATTTTAATAAATTTTTTTGTCTCATCCCCATCGTAATGAGTGACCATCCTTAACATGGCTTACTCAGAGTTTGTTTCTTCGGCCGCCAATTTGTTAAGTGCTGAGAAAAATGGAGAAGATGAGGATGACTGCTTCGGTGATGTGAAAACTTTCAGTGCTTCAGCTTTTAGTGTGTTTCGAATTGTTTCGATAAAAATTGTGTTTGATGCATGATTCGCAACCATTGGATTATTTATGTACTACCTTCTTACACGTGAAGACAACACCTGGGATTTTTGTCGGAGGGACAAAAGTGGGCATGGCCCATTCCATGTGTGCTTTTTGTGAATTGTTTGGATTCAAATGATTTGGATGCATTTTTCATGGAGTTACCTTTTGCGCAAATGGGCATTTATTTTCATTTAAGCCTCATTTTGGACTTTGCTTAGTGTTTTACTTTTTGCTTTCCAATTTTCTTTGATGTCAGAATAGTTTTGGCAATATGTAAATATATCTGGGAATCAGGCTCTATTTTTATATGGTTGTTGCAGCATCATTTCTATTTATCATTGAGATTTTGCAATGACATTTAACTAAATATTCATGTAATTGTAATCAGAACTTGAAAAACATAGGTGAAGGTGTTGTGAGAGGTGCTGTCCAAAGAAGCTCAAATGAAGTTTGTTGTAGTAAGCCGTCAATGGAGAAGTTGTTTGTTTGTTGTTTTTTGTTTTGTTTTTATTTTAATGCAGGGCTCTAAATTTGGTTAACAAAACTTATTTGGTGGACTGATACTTTCATCTTTTTTAGAATTCATGTTTGCTTAATGAAAGGGCATGCCAGGGATCCTGCTAAATGTTGCCATATTGCTGATTTAAAAAGGCAGATTGTAAATTAAGACATCAATAAAACAAGAAGAAATTATCTAGTTCAGGATCTTTTCTACGGCTGCTACCGATCACCCTAAGTGGCCAGTTGTTTGTACCATTTTTAGCATCCGTTTAAAAAAAAAGAAATTTTCTCCATGCCAGTGGCGGTCAATTACCATTTCTTTACTTGGCTAACTTAATAGTGATCATCAAAAAATATATATACATAAATATAAAGATGTACTTTCATGCTTCACCAGCTGTAATGTTTTATTTGTTTACATCCACAAGGAAATGCACTATTTACACATTTAATGTTAATATGGTGCTTTTCCTTAAATTATCAAGTATCTTTATTTATCTCATTCAGTATTAATGCAACTGAAGCTTTAGCTAATGTAATGGTATTATTAGATGTCACATGACCATTAACTTTAACATTCATCCTCTCAAAGATGTTTCTCTTTTTGCTGATAAAATGTGTGATTGTAAGAAACGATTTGGACTGTATGGTTACTTTTAAAGAATCATTTTAATGACGCACACATTTAAAATTCACTATTTATATTAATGTGCTAAATTTCAAATGTCCACCTAATTTGATCAAAATAGTTGTCTCCTATCCATTTTTCAGGGGAAAAATATGATATGGTTAAAAAAAAATAGCAACAAGCAAATATTTTTTGTGTCATGAATAAAAAAACTATTGCTTATTGTGTGAGATAAACTGGAAGAGATACTTGTTAGTTTATTTTTAAAAGTTAGTTTTGATTTTATTTAACGTAGTGCTTGCTTACGCTTTAACCCATATACTTCACTTTTTAAAATGCACTTCATATGCATGTTAATAATCCTGTAGAGATGTTGATGTTTGTTATAAATTACCTCTTTTTATTATTAATATTGCATCCCAGTTTTCCCCAACTCCTTTTTAAGATTAGTTTGAAGTTGTAACTTATTTTTATTTTTGAAAAAAAAAATCAGAATCAATTGATATTTAGTTCTAAAAAAAAATATTTTTTTTTCAATTATCTATTTGCTCTTAACTTAATTCAAATTGTTAATTTGTTGAAAAAAGAAAATACAAATGAGATGTGCTTTTATTATTCGTGATATCAACCATTCAGGAACAAAATCATAAGTGATTTGACTATTTAATGTTATTTTATCTAATTTGGCTTTATAGTTTTCCTTAACTTAAACATACACAAGCATGTTTCAAAGAAAATATGTGAAAGATACATAAATTGTACTTCATTTAATATTCTAAAGAAAAAATTAATAGCAGTCTGTTGTTTTTTTTACTTCAATATTGGTGCATCATTTTTATTATTCCCGATAAATACATCAAAATTGCAAATGTAAATAATTTTAATTTCTTTCCTCCGAAAGACAGTCTCCATTGTGTCTCTGTGTCAAAGCTGTAGGTACAAAAAAGTTTCTTTCAAAATGGTAACATAGATACTCACTTGCGGATGTAATCAGATATTCCCCCAAATTAAGAACATGTTATTTATAATGCTTTGTTTTTCTTTTAAACTGATGAAATTACTCAGTTCGTCTAATTATCTGCAAACTTATAAAAATATGTTATAGAAATGTACATAGAAATAATGGAATGTGTGAGGTTCGCATTTGCTAGAAGGTGATAACAAAAAAAAATTTGTTTTTTTTTTTTAATATTTAAAGCATCAGAAATTGAGGTCAGTACCTTTGCTGGTTGCATGTTAAATCTTATGTACCGGTAGTTGCATGTTTGCATGGTTAGTTATTTCACTGTCGGAAATCCTCTTCTAAATATTTTTTCAGGGGTTTTGTTTGTTTTTTTGTTGGTTGTATGTTTTGTGGTGAGGGAAAAGAAAGGTAGGGGGTTGCTTCATGTGTTTTACTAGTGCCAATAGTACCTCTTTTTTTTTTTAAGAGAGAAAAGGTGAATATTTTGATTGCAATTGTAAGACCATAATTTAAAAAAAAATTTGTTAAAGACATTTCATAATTTTTGATCTAATTGAAGAGGTTACATATGGAAATATTAAGTTATGCACATGAGTTGTAGTGATGTATGAGACCAGTGAATATGTCTTACACCCTCATAAAAATCAGGGAAGAGGAGTCAGCAGTCATATTTCTTGTCATCTCCCTGAAATGCTTCCATTCTGATGATAAATTTATGGTACTTTGCCATTATATCTTATAATGCCATTTGTATATAGTTGTTTGTTTTATTCTTTGTTTTTGTATTGTGAAACATTTGCTTTTATAAACAGGACAAAATGCTTTCAAAAAGACAAAATATGGCTTGTACATAGAAAAAAAAAGTTAAAGTTGAGAGAATTATTTAAATGTTTAGTGAGAGAAAGAATGTAGTCTAATGATGTTGCTTTTATCATTTCTTACAAGAGTGTTTGATTATGTATCTGTATATCTTGGTGGTGTATACTTGAGCTACTTAGTGTCTGGGAATATTTAATGACTGACTTGGCTTCTCTGTTAACTTTCAATATTTGCTCTTTTTCATTAAATTTCTTCTTTGCTATGTTGATTGCAGTTTTTAAATGTTGCTTTGTAGTTTTATTTTCTCTTAGTCATTTTTGGGGGTAGAAAGTTGTTTTTTTTTTTAAAATTTATTACATTACAAAATCAGGTAGTAAACCATTGTTTTTCTGGGTTTTTTCCAGTGTAGTCTTTTTAAAAGTAGCATCTTAATTCAGTTTGATGAGGAACAGACCTTTTACAAAATAAAATCCAGCTAAATTGGTTGGCCTTTGTGGAATGGTAGTTCTTTTTGCTTGTCTTATTTTGTTCTTTCTGTTAATTAATTGTGTGCACAATAATTCATAGTAAATCATCAAGCTTTTGTTCCAATGGTTTCTGAAATCGACATCACGACTTTGCCTCGCCTAACAGAACTATTGTGAAATTGTCTAAAATATTCACTTGATTTACTGTATTTTTAATTTAAGGCCAATTCTTAAAATTCATCAAGATCTCTTATAAAAGTTACAAAATGGATACCCCAGTCTACCTTGATGCCTTCATGTGGCTTAAATTCTTCAGAGTTTATTAAATTTTTCTGAAGTCAAAAAGTATCTTATTGTTTACTGCTCAGCTGCATGTTGCAGAATACCTTTTCATTTAAAGTTCATTTAAAATAAAAATATAGATAACTGCACAAAATCCAGCTGAATATATTTGTTCCAAACTTTGTGAAGCATTCCATCAGATTTCAATCTTTGGTGGAGGGCTAACTCTTTCTTTATTTTCGCTGTAAATCTTTTCTTCTGTCCTGTGGTAGATGGTGACATGTTGGTATAATAGCCATCAATTCTTCCCCGGTGCTGGATAGCTTTTGCCATGAGTAAAAAAAAAATAATAATAATAAAAGGCTTAAATGAATGTTATTTACTCTGAAAACTTTATTATGACATTGAATGTTAACTTTTGCTTTAAACCTTACGATGTATATTTTAAAAAGAAAAATCAATTAATTTGATATAATTAATTCTTGTCTCAGCTCGTTCGTTACATTGAGTTGTTAAAAAGAAATTGTTTTACACAATGAACAAATTGATGAGCACAACATGCATGTAGGAAAGAGTTTCAAGCACTTATATTACTGGCATAAATACATACTATTTAAAATAATAACTTAGGAAACTTCTTATCTTGTCTTATGCATAATGGATAATTGTGAATAGGCAATGACAATGAATTCTCCATACATCAAGATGGAAGTAATATTTTCTTTTTGTTGTTCAAATAACTAGTTTTCTATAAGGAGGCGTGGTCTGTTCAATTACAATAGTATTGAGAAGTTTATCTCTTACACTCTTATAAACTTTTTTTGCTAGCCTAAAAGCAGAGTAAAATTTGGTAGGATGCAGTTTTGTCTGATTTTGTCTATGTGCACCCTTCATATTGCTCAGTCAATTATATATATATATATATTTATATATTCTAGATGTACACAATCATTTATATTTTTTAATTTTAATACTATTTTAATCAGTTGTTTTAATATTAATTGATTTCATGGAAAATATAGGGTTATAATCTGTGTTTTAACAATTACATGGTTTTTTGTTTTTTTTGTGAAGGGGGTTGTGATGGCACTGCTTTCAGATCATGAAAAAAAATTTTTTTTGTGAGGAAGAACTACCACAATTTTTAAAATATTTTTTGACTGGTCGTCAATGGCTATGCACTGGCTTCTGACCTAACTAGGCTTAATGGGTTTATTATGCATTGTCTCTGTTAACAAAAACAAACTCTCCTTGTAGCAAAAAGGAGCTATGCTCTTTGTTTTGTATGATGAACATGGCCAATTTGTGCTACAGGACAGGATTTTTAACCTTTGCTAACACTCTTAAAGCTTAATTATAAGGATACTGTGGGATGAAAGAGAGAGATAAAAGGTGTTCTTGCAATTACAGGCTTGTATATAGGGGATTATTGTCAAATATGAATTATGAATGCTTTGTTAAGCAGGTATGTGTACTGATCATCTCTCTAACAGTATTGAATGCTTTCTCTGATGACTCAGTTGTATTGGCATACCTGCTGTACTCTACGTATTGCATTGTTTATTTACTATGTAGCCTAATAAGTCATATGTATATACGCCAGTAACCAAATTGACTTGTTGGATTCTGGGAATCTTAACACAAGATAATAGAATGTGAGAGAAACACTAGGTCTATTGATAGCAAAGATGAGCTTTTTAACTTTTTAAATTGTATGTGGGGGCTCATTTTGTATTCCAGGGATATTTGTGTCTGTTGTATGTGTGCTTATTCACATAGTTAATTGTCTAACTTTTGTTTAGGATATTGTTAATGTATTGACACCAGTTGAAAATGGAGAAAATAATTGTGTGCCCAGAACTTAGATGTATATTTTGTATTTGCAATTCTAGAATTCCCCTCAAAGTGATGGCCAAGTGTTAGGAAATCAAATTTGAAATAAATTGTCTCTACTACATTCAAGATATTCTTAGAGTACTGTCTTTTGGTAACTATGTATGCTTGAAGTATTTGTATATGAATTCACATGTTTATTCTGTTATGTGTTTTATTACTCCTAATTGGTTAAATATTAGCAGTGATTGTGTTGTTTTTGTTGTTTTTTTTAAATTAGGTATGACTGAAGTATATTAAATAGGAATATTCTGTAGAATAGCTTTTTAAAAAAATATATTTTAATACATTATCCGAAATTGTGTGTTAAACAATAGTTGACTCAGACAAAACAAGGATTTGGTTACAAAAATTATTCTTGAAGGAACTATTGTTTTTTGGGGGGAGGTTTTTTGGAATTCACACTGGTAAAGTATTTATTTGAAATTCTTAAAATTTATGTGATTTCATATACAAATGCCCATCATGTTATTTTGTACATAGAACGTAAGACACACACACACAACACAAAACGTTTGCTGTTTCATCTACCCATTATTCTCCCTCGCCCTTCCCTTCCATATTTTCTTCTTTTTTTATATATATATATATATAAAAAAAAAAACAACACAAAAAAAACCCAAACGTTTTTGTTTTATGAACTTCAAATTGATTGTGATACTGTTTGGTTGAGAAGAGTGGATTTGAGTAGCTGAGACAATTGGAGGTACAACTTGCCTCTGCATGTAAGATGGGTGTAAAAAAAGAAGAAGAAAAGATAATATTAATCTATTTTTGATGTGTTAAAGTTATGTAAAACAAAGGGTGCGGTCATGTTAGTGTTTGCACCCACTGTATGATAAGATGTGTTGTAAACTGATTGAAAAGATGGCCTGTTAATAATGGAGGGATTTTCACCCAATGTTTTAATTGTAGAGCAACAGAACTTCTCCTTTAAACGTGTTAATGGAAATGTGTCAATCTATTTATCTTCCATAGAATTAATTATCATGCCAGTTGATGTGAACATTTTGCATAATGCATCTAACAAACAGGAC